GGGGGGGATGCGGGAGATCGCCGGGCGAGCCGCCTGGCTTCGGCGTGGAGGGCGGAGAGAACCTGCACGGTGGCGCGGGGTGCTGATAAGAAAGGAGAGAGAGGGAGGGGGCAAGGCGGGGGCGAGGCGGGTGGGCGGCACGTCGGCGACGGAGAGGAGGGCGTCGGCGGCAGCGCTGTCTCCCGCCACACTCGCTGCGTGGTCTCGTTGAGCCCGAGCGCCGCAGCGCGCACCTCGATCTCGTCGTCGGCCGCCGAGTCGGCCGCCGCCGCCTCGGACCCCTCTGGGTGGGTGCGGTGCCGCTTGGGCGAGAGCGGCGGGCTGCAGGTCGGCGAGGGAGAGCGCGGTGTCGGAGGTAGGCTGCCCTCTGCACGCGCGGCGGCCTGCATGGCGCCGAGCACTGCTCCCGTCTCGAGCCATGAGTACGAAGAGGACGGGCCGGCGCCGGAGCCAAGCGCGCCGCTCCCGCCACTCCCGCTGCCGCTGCCGCTCCCGCCACACCCGCTGCTCCCGCTGCCGCCGCCGCCGCCGCCGCTGCCGCCGCCGCCACAGCTGCCTCCGCCGCCGTAGACGCCATGGCTGCCTCCGCCGCTCGATCCGCTTGGACCACTGCTGCTGCCCCCTCCACCCAGGCCGCCGCCGCAAACGGGCGACCACCGCTCGCGCTGGTGCTGCCCAATCATTGCTGGTACTGGTGCTGCCCAGCGGCGGGAAGGGGGCTGCATTCGCTCCTCATCCGCCATGAGAGCGCAGGGCTAGAGCAAGAAAAAGCGTCGCGCAGGTGACACGCTGGCAAGCGGTGGGGATCCCTCTCGAGTCGCTCGGGACGGAGGGCTTCCCTGCGCTAGCCGCCTGTCATGGGTGCGGCGGCAAATTTCGCACACTGTTCCACGTGAAGCCGGAAGACGGACCGGCGGCTACGAAGGTGGCTGAGGAGCAACCCTTTTCCTGGCTCACAAGCTGAAGATGTTCACGGGCCCCCACTCTCCCGTATGGGGAGCCCCGGGTACTCTTTAGCTGTACTCGTCTAGGCAGGGGTTGGCTGAGGAGGTGGTCAGCGCCATCCTGGAACGGATTTCTGGCTGCGCTTGGAGCACTCCAGGAGTGCAGTTGGCAGCCTCACATCCAGCCAGAAAGAGAACGACTGGAGAACGAAATTCTCGATCGCCTCGAGAACGATGACTTCCCCATGGATCCATGCCATGGTGCACATGGACTTCCCTCGGCTCGGTTCCGACTCTCTCTGGCTTCGGCTAGAGTTGACAAGCTGCCGAGCCTAAGCCACTAGGTGTGCTAGATTTCTGGTTGGTTGGCTCCTAAAACTCTCTCTCTCTCTCTCTCTGCTCTCTCACATCCTCATCCAGCACGCAGCAGGCCGGCGGGACCGGCCGGGAGCTATGTATGAAGCACCCCAGGCTGTTTTCTTTCTTTACCCAAGTGTTGACTTCTTCTACTCCCTCAGTAGCTGCAGATTGTTGCAGCCAAAGAAGAAAAAGAAAGAAAACAGACAACCCAAGGGAGGGATGGGAGGACGGCACGCCGCCACCACACAGGGATTTTAATTGTTGCAGGCACTCACACCTGCACAACGATTTCTTTGTCCTGTGGCCCCGCGCGAACAACATATTCAGCGAGCGGCATATGTGGATCGCGCGGTGGCCGCTCGTCTTTGCATTTGCGGCGCTAGCCAGCGCTGCGCCCGTCGGCAAGAGCCACTACGGCATCGTCTTTGACGCCGGCAGCTCGGGCACCCGCATACACGTGTACACCTGGCGGACCGGCGGTGGCGGGCCAAAGGACGCGTTTGACCTCGTTTCGGACGAGCTGCTCAAGATCAAGCCGGGCCTCTCCGCGTACAAGGACCGCCCGTCCGAGGCCGGCGCCTCGCTGGAGCCACTGCTGGCCTTTGCGAGGAGCAAGATCCCGGCGGAGCTCATCGCGAGCACGCCAATGTTCCTGATGGCGACGGCGGGCCTGCGGCTGGTCGGCGAGGCGACCAAGGACGCGATCCTGGCGTCAGTGTGCGGCTACCTGGGGTCGACGGGCTTCCTCTTTCGGTGCGAGTGGGCCACGCTCCTCGACGGGCGTGACGAGGGCCTGTACGGCTGGGTGACAGTCAACTACCTGCTCGACGCGCTCTACCCGGGAGGAGCCCAGCCGGCTGGCACGATCGACCTGGGCGGCGGGTCGGTGCAGATCGTCTTCCCGACGCCAGCCGTCGCGCCCTCCTCCGCCCCGGCCGAGCTCTCGCAGCGCCTCGACTTTGGTGGCCGGTCGCACGCTCTGCACGTGCGGCAGAGAGAGGGCAGAGAGAGGGCAGAGAGAGGGCAGAGAGAGGGCCGAGAGAGGCCCCTCCCGTCTCGAGCAGCCAGCTGGGGAGGGTCGTAGCCCCCCCGTCTCCCTCGCTGCAGGTCAAGTCGCACCTCGGGCTCGGACTCGACTCTGCGCGCACCTCCCTGCTCGACCTCGTGGCTCAGCGGCCGGGCGAGATCTAGCCGAGATCTGGCCGAGATCTAGCCGAGATCTAGCCGAGATCTGGCCGAGATCTGGCCGAGATCTGGCCGAGATCTAGCCGAGATCGACCTCGTGGTTCAGCGGCCCGGCGGGTCTCTCCCGAGCCTTCCCTCGCTCCTCTCCCGGACCCTTCCTGCAGGCGAGCCGCACCCGTGCCTGCCCATCGGCGCATCGGCGCGACGCGCAGAGGGGAGGAGCGGCGCGGGCGAGGCGCGTCCTCACATGCCCCGCTGCGAGTGGGCAGGTGACGCACAAGGGGAGCGTGGTCCAGGGGGCGGGAGACTACCGGCGGTGCAAGAAGCTGACCAAGCGGCTCTTCGGCGTCGAGGCGTGCTCCTACGGAGAGGGCATGTGCTCCTTCGGAGGCGCGTCCCAGCGGGCACCGCCGTGACACCGCCGTGACACCGCCGTGACACCGCCGTGACACCGCCGGTGACACCGCCGTGACACCGCCGGTGACACCGCCGGTGACACCGCCGGTGACACCGCCGTGACGCCGTGACACCGCCGGTGACACCGCCGGTGACACCGCCGGTGACACCGCCGTGACGCCGTGACAGCGCCGTGACAGCCCGACGCCACGTCCGCCAGGCGTCTACCAGCCGCCCCTCCCGAAGCGCTTCTACGGCCGCCTCGCGCATGCCAGACCGGACCGCCAGGTGCCAACAGCCTCTCTTTACACCACCGAGCTGCGAACAGGCTTCTCGTACATGTTCGACCGCACCGCCGCCATCGGCCTGCTTGACCAGAAGCCTGTCACGTTCGGCGCCGCGGAGATGAGCCGCGACGACATCGAGCGAGCCGCGAAGGCCGTCTGCTCGCTCGACCAGGCGGGCGCGGCCGCGCGGTTCGCGGCGACCAACGACGCCGCAAAGGCGGCCAACTTTTGCGGGGACACTGTCTACATCGCGGCGCTGCTCGACGCGCTCGGCTTCGACGAGCGGTCGACCATGACGATGACCAACAAGATCAAGGACGTTGAGCTCGTCTGGACGCTCGGTGCGATGCTCGCCCAGTCCTCCGCCCTCGCGAGCGGCGCCTCCGGCAGCCACTTTGGCGCCCTGAGCTGGCTGGCGCTCGCGGCCACTCTCGCGGGGCTGTGGTACTTTTGCCTCGGCCCAGGCTCGAGGCCTTCCGGGCCGCCGCGCCTGTACAACAGGCCGCCTCCCTAGGCACCGACCATTCTCTTGCGCACAGTGTCCGCGCTGTGGTGTCGCGTCTGCCGTACTCGAGCGCCGTTGCCCGTGTCAGCCGCCCTCTCCTCACCCTCTCTCTGTCTCCTGTGTCTGGCGCTCCGAACCCTGAGGATCGGCCAAAAGCAAACACGAGCGCAGCCGAAGGTGATGCAGTGTCGTGTCTGGCTTCAAAGTAATTCGCGTAGATGAGTCGCATCCAAACATCTGCCAACAGGACCGTTGCAATTTGAAGACTCGCCACGAAGAACACATCGTGCGTCCCACGACTCCGCTTGCACCTTGCAGTCAGCTGGCGTCTCGATGCAGGCGGCCGGAGCCGCTACAGGTGGGGCCAAGACAGGAGCCGACACGGTTAAGGAGGCCGGAGGACGTTTTGCCGCTTTTCTGGATGTGGCTGGGAAGGTGGTCGTCGCCACTGGGAAAGGGTTGATCACCGGGCTGCCGCTCGGCCCGCCAGGTGCAGTCATCGCAGGCATCCAGGCTGGTGTGTCGGAGGCTTCCAAACACTCTGAGGCTGTCCAAAGGGCTCTGTTCGACCAGATGATCGCTGATAGCGACTCCAGTGACGAGGAGGAGTTTGTTGATGAGTCTGGGAATGTGTCGAGGAGTCGTTCCATCGACGTCTCTGGCCTAAAGACGGCAACACCTGCGATGGCCAAGGCAGCCAGAGCCCCTGCCGCACCCGCCCCTCGTGGCATCGGCTCGGCTGCCCAAGGGGCGGCAGGCGGGCCGGTGTGCGGGGCTGGGAACCACCAGGCAGGCCCGACAGGCTCTTACCAACCGAGCCCAGGAGGTAGCTTTCCGGGAGGCGCAGGAGGGGCCAGTGCTGGGGCTGGTGCCGCTTACATGGGGGGGCAAGGAGTTCCTCCGACGGGCATGGGCGGCGGCGCGGGAGCTCTTCCATACGGGAGTCCACCGGGTGCGTCATGCTACCCCGGAACAGGGGTCTCCTACCCCGGAGGGGCACCTTCGAATGCGGGTTACCACCCAGGAGCGGCTGCGGGCTTCTCGGGAAGCTACTCCGGAGGAGCCCACATGCAGCCTGGAGGGGCCATCTGCGGCGCAGCCTCTCCGTACCCCTACCCCGGCGAGGCGTTGCATCAGCAGCAGATGTGGCTTCAGCGACAGGTGGACGATCTGTCCACCCCCAGCCAACGGCATGGTCGCGGGGGCAAGTCTTACTCGCCTGAGACGCAAATGGAGAGGCACAGGCAGGAGGCAGACCGGCTGGCTTCCATGATCGAAGGCCACCGACTCAGCGAGGAGCGGGGCAAGCTGGGCGACGCGGCAAAACAGGTGCTCGGGCAGCAGAGGCAGCAGGCGGAGAGGCAGCTCGAGGAGCTGCGCATCCTCATGGAGCGGCTGACATTGCGCATCGAAATGGACAAGGCGCGGGACGAGGCTGCCAAGGCTGAGCTCGAGAAGCTGCTGATCCAGGTGCGGGTGGCCAACTGCGGCCACAACCTCATGGCGAGCTACTACCGCATCATGGACCGCGTCGTCGTCCTCTTCATCGTGGCGATCAACGCCACCGTGGGTGGTGTTCTCTTCGCCGCAGATGGCGACGAGGTCGAAGACTATGGGAGCTCCGTCTCATACGCGCTCAACATGTCGGGCGCCGCCCTCGCGCTCGCGGCAGCCGTGCTCACAGCCGCCAGAGGGGCGCTGTTGCTCGAGGCCCTTAGCGAGCGGCACCGCCACGCCGCCGTGGTCTTTGGCAAACTTTGGGTCCGCACAGTGGACTACACAACGCTGCTCGCCATCCCCTACCGGCGGCCCGGCGCAAAAGTGGACGGATTTGCGGGCGGCTGCAAGACCGACGACTGGTGCGACTGGCACCACGAGTACCTCGACGCCACCGAGCAGTCGCCGCAGCTGTCGAACTGCGTCTACCAGGCGGTCAAGCTCTATGGGCACTGCACCTTCCTCTTCATCCTGTCGGGCGGCTTTGTCGGCTTCCCCGCCCGGCACGTGTGGTCCCAGTGGACGGACGAGGTCACCGCAGGCGCCCGCGAGTTTGACGAGCCACTGGCGCCGACGGGGGCGGGCGGCGTGACAGAGGAGGCCTTGGTCGAACTGCTTGCGGCCGGGCCTGTCAAGCTGCGCGAGCTCACCGCACATTTCCACATTGACGCGTCAAAGACAACGAGAAAGGAGAGGGCGGAGATGGTCAAGACCATCTCCAGGGTCGCGTACACTGAGGAGGACAAGGTTCGCGGCGGGGGCAAGCTCATCAAGCTGAGGAAGGAGGCGCGCGCCAGATATAGGGTGGGTACCTAACTCGCTGCCGACTGAGTGGATGGAATCCCGAGGCTAGCGCCGCCGGCTCTCTTGCGCCACGCGTGAAGCGCGTCGCGACAGCTGCGAGGGGCGCGGGGCGAGTGAGAGCTGAACCAGCTGTCACATGCGCAGTCGAAAAGTTGGAGCCGTCTAGATGTGGAGGTGGATTGAAGAGGCACCGACTAGGGCAGCGAGAGGAATGTCACGTGTCAGGACCAGAATAGCGAGCATGTGGAGACATTTCAATGCACACGTACCTCTCGCGCACTCACGACTCACGACTCAGAACATACACAGGGAGACCCCGCGCGCCCCAGGCCCAGCCCTCACGCACGCACTGCGACACCACCTGGGGCGACCTCTCTGGGGCTGGGCGGGCGCGCGGACCCGCCCCCGCGTGTGGCTTCTCCGGTCGTACAAGTCCGTCTCCCACACAGCGCGCCCTCGACTCGTTGGAGTACCTGCACCTCGCATGGCTCACGCGGGGTGGCGTGTGCAGACACAGAGAGGGGGGAAGGGGGCTAGAGTACACGTACAGAGATGCAGCGGCGGGCTTGCGCGCCCGTCGGAGAGGGGCAGGGGCGCGGGGAGAGGGGAGGGGAAGGGGAAGCTCCATCCATACGGCATGTACGCGCGACCGCGCGCGCACACAGTCCTCGGCGCCCTGTTCAGTGTTCAGTGTCAGCTGTCAGTGTTCTCCTCGGCCCCTGCCTCTCGGTGTCTCGCGCTCCGCGCACACGCCACACCGCAGTCGCTGCCTCGCGCATGCTCCATGCACCGCCAAAAATACTCTATTTGTGAAGTGAAACAACTTCGCGGACCGGACGACTTGGTATACACGTGCTAAGCTGGAGACCCACGCCACGCACAGCTTCTGGTTCTGCTCTGCAGGCGTGCGACCACCGCAACACCCGGTAGAAAGTGACAGGCTGTGTCGAACGGAGCGAGCGCGCACCGCGACGTCCGGCGGCACTCTTGCCCACTACTGAAAGACGCCGCAGTTCCGCAAACGCCCCCATGTTTCACCACACTCAGCGCACTGCGTGTGCCCAGGTGTGTAAGCCAACGGTGCCGACTCCCTCCTGCGCTGCGTGACCCAATCTGACCCCACGCCGCATTCTCTTTTGACTAGTGCCCCTGCCTGGGCAGCAAAGGTCTTGGCACTCCTGCGACTGGTGCTGACTGACGTGCTTCGGTCCTCAGACGTTGACAATGAGCAGCGTCGACGTCCACGACGGGATGCTCATCAGCGAGGCGACATGCAGCTTGGAGCTCTCGACCGCCGCCTCTCGGCTGCCAAGCACGTCAGGCCATTGCAGCTCGCCCGGTGCAACCATCGGATCTGCCCCATCTTGGCGGAGCTCGATGCGACACGGCGAGCTATCGGTTGCGTCGTGCTGGACCAGCCGGTAGGCACTTGGCGCAAGCTTGGCCCTCCACAGCGCGCGGCCGAGTGCACTGGCCGCCACCGCGACGACGAGCCCGGCTAGGACAAGGTCCTCAGCCCAAGCCGTCACGCCGGCCTCGGCGGCATCAGCGAGCCACGCGTACTCGGAGTCTGGATCGAACCAGGAGCACGGGCCCGCCGTTCCGTCAGGCGCGGCCTGAACGGAGCTCGGCCCGCCCGAGAGAGCGAAGCGAAGCGAGCGGAGCGCTGCGCCGCCCGCTGACGACACGGCGAGGAGCCGTGCGCCGTTGCTGTAGGCGAGGGTCGTGGTCATGTATTGCAGCGCACCGACAGTCACGAATAGGAATTCCTAGAGCTTCCACACGACAAACACGCCGTCCATAAAACAAAAAAAAACGCAAACAAATATACACGGCGCGGGACGCTGTGCTGCCTGCGACGGATAGAGCCGCCCCACGGGTGCCCAAGCCACCTTGTGTGCTTGCGCGCGTCAGCCCGCCGGAAGCGGTCCCCTCGCCCCTCGGATGTCCTCCATGTCCATGTCCATGTCCATGTCCATGTTCATCTGAGAGAGAGAGAGTTCTCCTTCATGTTCATGTCCATGTCCATGTGTATGTGTGTGTGTGTGTGGGGGGGGGGGGGTTGGAATACGGCGGTGATACACCCCTTGACAGCACACAGCGCCTCACGGCGTGGGCACTCGAGGTGGCCCAGGGGGAGCATTCTCCCGCCCTCGCAGGACTAGGGGCCGCGCCGGCTACTCGCTCGTCGTTTGCGGAGGCAGGACGTCAGGTGCGTCCACCTGCCACGCCTCCGCCCCACCAGCACCACACTCATGTGTCATGAATGCAGCCGCCAGCCCCATCCGCGCTCGGTAACGTCCTCTGATATCTCTGCCCCTCCCCCCCGCTCTTTAAATAAATAAATACAAACGGACACCTCTACTACGCTCCGGCCTCCCCGCTGCGGCGCTCTTCCGACAACTTCCGTCCGGCAACACAACTACTGAAAACAAATAAAACGCTAAACGGGCATGCGCGCGGCTCCGCGCGGTGGCCGGTGCGCGCTGGGCCCCTGGGGCCAGCGATTTTTTTCGTTTTACGGTCTCTTGGGACTCGCACTCGGCCGGCGCGGGCGGCGGCGGCGGCGGCGGCGGCGGCGGCGGCGGCGGGGGGGGTCGCTGCGTCGCGCTCTCCGGAGACTCTCCGCCGAGCCCGACCCGCGAACGCCGCGCCGTCCGCGGGCGGCGCGTCGCGGGGCCCGGGGCGCGCTCGGGGCCGTCGCGCACGCGGTGTGCTGGCCGGCGGCGGCGCGGAATCGGGCTTCCTCACACTCAGACAAAAGATAATAACACTTTGAGTTGATAACGTAGCTCAAAAAAGTGTAGAAACACACGCGGACACGCTCGCGCGGCCGGCGGCCCGGCGCGGCCAGCCGGGAGCCGCGAAAGTTATAACAGAACCGCTCCCCTCCGGCGCGCCCGGGCGCCCTCAGAAGACGACGGTGTCGAGCATGGTGCCGAGGCAGTGGACGATGTTTGCGCTCATCAGCTTGACGACGGACTCCTCGATTCGCCGCTTGGCGTCCACCTTTCCGACGGTGGCGACGACGAGCTGCTCGGCGGAGAGCTCGATCTCCTGCTTGACGGCCTTCTCGTACGCGGCGGAGAGCTCGGTCAGCTCGGTGACGCACTTGCGGTTCTCCTCCGAGTGCTTCTCGTAGTCGGAGACGCGCAGGCCGTCGGTCCAGTTCTTCTTGTGCAGGTTCATCAGCATCTGCTGCTCGAGCTCGTTCTTGCGGTACGAGAGGGCGATCGAGTAGTAGTGCCGGTTGAGCCCGTGGATGAGCGCCTGGATGGACGGCTTGTGCAGGTGTCCGATGTTGGACGTCGTCTGCCGCGGCTCCTGCCCCAGCATGATGAGCTGCGGGTTGATGGAGCGGAAGCAGTCGATCACGACCTTGCCCTTGACGGACTGGATCGGGTCCACCACCACCGCGACCGCGCGCTGGTTGAGCGCCTCGAAGCTCTGCTGCGTGTTGATGTCGACGCCCGACAGCCAGCACCCGAAGCCCGGGTGCGAGTGGTACCACCCCACGACCATCTCGGGCCGGCCCGTCTGCTTGAGCATGTCGAGCATCTTGGTCTGGAAGACCGGGTCGACCGCCTCGACGCTCACGCCGGTGCCGCTCTGCGGCATCGCAAACACGTCCACACACTTGACCGTGTAGTCGTCCACAAACTCGCCCAGCATCAGCCCCATCACCTCCATCGGCACGCCCGCGCGCCTGCGCCGGCCGCCGCGCGCACGGGTGAGCGGCGAGGGAGGGAGCGCCGGCGGCGCACGTGGGCGGGAGGGCGCGGAATCGGGGCGGCGCACCCGTGCTTGAGCATCTTGAGCAGCGCCATCGACGAGATGTAGACCATCTCGGCGGTGTCGACGACGGGAGCCTCGGGCGCGCCCGCGCCGCCCGCCGCCGCCTGCGTCTGGAACAGGCGCTGGATCCGGTCCATCGCGACGCCGCGGCTGCGAGTGCGCGCGCCTAGGAGCGGGGCGAGAGGAGGGGTGGCGAGGCGGGCTCGCACAGCGGGCAGGGGTGTCGGGGCGGCAGTGGCTGGCAGCGCCGTCTCGACTGGGCGCGTTTCTTTTTCTATTTACTTTTTTATTTCTTTTTGATTTCGCTTATAAATAGGACCGCCGCAAGCGGCGTGGTGTGGAGCGGTTGTGCATCCCTCCGGGGGCCCCTCTGCGCCGGGGAGGCGTTGTTGGAGGCTAGGACGCAAGCGTCCGTCGCACTTTTCAAACTCGGGGCCCTCTCCGCTACGCTCCGACCTCTGGGGGGGCGCGGGGGCCCCCGGAGGCACCGTGCGCCGCGCTGCAGTGCGGAAACGGGGCCCCGGCGCTCAGAGTCGCTCAGACAGAGCACCTACTTCCCGATCTAACCCGGTCTAACAGAGCACAGAGGGTAGATTTGGAGAGATCTCGAGGAGTACATACAGATAGACACCCTCCAATCATCAGTAACCTCCAACCTGATCGGTCGTACTGACCGTCTCCGACAGATCACTCCAGACAGACAGCAGACAGGCCGACGTCTGCACGCGGCCGGCCGGGCGAGAGGCTTGACACGATCCGACCCTGCGACCCTGACGCTGCTGCTCTAGCTATCAGACATGCACTGCTGACTGCTGCCACAATGTGCGACCTGTGCTGGCCCACTTGGCGGCCTTCCCCACCTCCGCTCCGCAGCTATGGCTGCTCTGGAAGAGCTCTGGCCAGAGCAGCCAGAGCTGCTTCCCGCGGAGGCGCTCTCGTGAGCATCGCCCGTGTCGAAGGGCATTCATGCAGCGGCGGCCGCGGACGCCACCGCGGCGTCTCGAGCCGGCTCGACAGCAGCAGCGGCGGCAGCGGCGGGTGGCGGCCGGCAGCAGCGCGGGCGCAGCCGGCAGCGGCCGCAGCAGGGAGAGAAGGGAAGCAGCAGCCACCGGACAATCATGAGGGAGCATCCCCCGCTCGCGAGGGCAACACCTGTCGGGAGCGCGCAGCTCGAGAGGTGCTTCTTTTTTGACCGCGCAAGACAAACAAAGGGTGGCTAAGGGCTCTGCCCGCAAGCAAGGCGCCCGCGTCGCCGACGCGGTACCATTGACTAATCCCGGAATACACACCCACACGACCAAATAGCGAAAATCCGAATACCGTGCAAAAACCACGGAACGTCGGACGAAGAACTTTGTTTGGCTAACTCCATAACATGGGCGATCCGGCGCTTCCTTCGATTGGACGGACGAAATGATCGCGGAAAAGCGGGACCGCCATCGCGACATCGGGGGTTCACCATATGCCGAGCCTGCTCGGCCTGCCATGTGCGCGCGCCCCTCGCCCGAGCGCAGCCACCTGCGGACCTGGCCAGCCTGTTCCTGGCTCGTGCCCAGCCTCTCCTTCCGCTGCCGCCGGCCTCGCAGTCCCGCCAGCCATCACGCTGCAGAGCCTGCGTGGACGCCACAGACACCAATTCTGCAGCCCACAGCCCTGGCAACCTTCCCTTCCCCACCCCCGCCTCCAGTGCCTCCAATCAAGTCGCACCTCTCTTCTTCAGCGAATGCAGCGGCAGCACCACGTCAGAGGCCGGGCCGACTGGCGGACCTGCATACCCACCAGCTCCCACCACCGCGGTGTCGTGTCATGAAGCATGATAGATAGACATAGAAAGCATGAACCATCCGAAAGGTCTGGTCTCCAAGAAGAGCTCTCGGCGGGCTGCGGCCTGCGCGCGCCCGCGCCCCGCCCCTTTTGCGCAGCAACACCTTAAATTTCATGGCCCTCCAAATTCGGGTCGGAGCGCAGCGGAGTGGGCCCCGAGTTTGAAAAAGGCGACGGACGCTTGCGTCCTAGCCTCCAACAACGCGAAGAGAGATAGTGTGTGTGTGTGTAGGTAGGTAGGTAGTAAGGTGAAGAACAGCCAGGCTCGGACTGGACACCAACGCGGTATGGGTGGACGCTGGACAGATGATGACTACACGCACGAGCGACACACAGACACAAACAAGCTCACAAGACACACAGCCAGCTGGCTGCCACACACCCTGAGTCGGCGTACACATAACTCAGGGCCACATCCTCCCTGTCGCCCCCCCCAGCACTCCACGGTGCCAAGGGCACAAACAAGGGCACAACTCAAACAACAGACGACAAGAAGTGACATGTGAGGCTAGAGCAGGCTTGCTCTACCTCCAGCAATCTCTCCGGCCGGCGAGGCACGGACGAGACCGTATGTGGGGTCTAGTGAGGTGTCTATGTGTGTGTGTGTGTGTGTGCACTCACTCACACAAGAGAGATAGGAAGAGGCGGACGCCCAAGGGTGGGCGACGGCTAGCGCATCACACCCCTCTCCTTAAAATCCCTGTGTGGTGGCGGCGTGCCGTCCTCCCATCCCGCCTGCCATCTTTTTTCTTTCTTTTTTCCACAAGCCTTCCCGCCTCCTTCCCGCCTCCACCTTAGGCATGGCCATCGACCCCAAGAAGCCTTTGACCAAGCCGCCGGACCATGCGTACGTGCGCAAGGAGCGCGAGCGGCAGAAGGCTCGCGGCGTGACGGCGCTGCCGCCCAGCGAGTGGGCAGACCAGACCCTCCACTACGACCTCGTGCCAAACGACAAGGTCATCGAGAGGATGGCTTGGGCGGGCGCCGACTCGACTCTGCCCGATGCTCTCGTGGGGCTGCCCAGCTCTCTCCGCGGCATCTTCTGGATCGACCAGTTCCTTCAGAGTTCCATCGGCAAGACCGCAGCCTTCACCGGCCCGGACAATGGGCTCTTCACGGGCCAAGGCAAAAACAAGCTGTGGTCGTGGCGGTGGAACACGCAGTCGACCGAGACGCTCGCCGCTTTTGGCGACTGGCCCGCGGAGTGGGTTTCGCACGAGAAGCAGGCGACGCTGCCCGACGGGCGGCCAAACCCGCTCGGCACGCTCAGGTACGTCCCCAACGGCGGCGGCAGGCGCGGCCACTGGACGTTCGGGAAGTACATGGCGTCTGGCATCTACGGCGCCTGCTGCTGCGTGGACCCGCTGCTCAAGTGCTGCTGCTTCCCCGACACGTTCATCGGCTACACCTCGGTCAACGTCACGTGGGGCCTGCGCATGAACTCTGACTTTCGCTTCAACGTGCGCGACGAGATCAAGGACGAGAAGCTCAACCCCGAGGGGCTCGAGATGATCCTCGACATGGCAGCGGGCGACAAGTTCGTCAACACCGCGCCCCTCTTCGAGATGCGGATGCAGTGGCGCCCCTATGGGTGGGTCCGAACAACCCACACCATCGAGGGCGCGGGCAAGGACCTCTCGGCGGAGCAGTGGGCCGAGCTGAAAGGGGTGCTGCCGCCGCCCTTCTACTACGGCCTCAAGAATGGGGGCGTGTGGGGCGCGACGCAGTACCCCGTGATCCAGATCGTCGACGAGAATGGCGACAAGACGCCCTACTACGCCGAGTACCTCGAGTGGGCCCGCCGCGTCAACCCGCAGGGCCAGTACATGGGCACCTTCAACCCGGATGCGACGGGGCCCAAGTGCTGCGAGAGGTGCGTCGGCGGAATAATGACGCCGATCATGTCGTGCATGCTGGACTGCGTCTCGGGCGGGCCGGTCTGCCCCTGCACGCCCTGCGTCACCTGGGCGGGCTGCTGCCCCTGCTGCTGCGCCGACTGGTCGCCGTGCTGCGAGGCCATCGGCGAGTACGGCGCGTGCCCCTGCACCTGCCTGTCAAGGCTGCCGATGACCAAGTCGAACGTCATGCCCGACCCCGAGTTTGAGACGCTGCCAGCGGTGGAGCACCCGCTGCAGCGCGGTTTTGTCAGGCTGCAAAACATGCACCGCGATTGACACGTGTGACAGGCGTGCGTGTGCCTGTCCGCAACGCGGTACTGTCTAGCCCTAGATACGTGTCTACTGAGCTGACTGCGATCTGTGTGTCCGAGGCCGGCGCCCCCGCCACTTCGCCCGCGGGGGCACGCGGCCAGCCCGGCCGCCGCGCGCAGCCGCGCGCCGCGGGGCGGCGTGCCGCGCCCTCCTCTGACCTCTCCCGCCGCCCCCGCGGCAGCGGCGCAGCGGGGGGGGGGGGGGCGCCGGGCGAGAGAGTGCAGAGAGAGCGCGCACGGCGGGCTCCCGCGCGCCGCCCCCCGTTCGTTTATTTTGCATTCGTGGATTAATTAAGCAAAAAGCAGAGAGACACACCAGACCTCGGTTTTTCCCTGCCATAGGGTTTCTGATGCCCCCGGGCGGTTTCCGACGGTTTCCCATCGCCGAAAACCCACGGGTCGGTCGGTTTCTGCGGCGCGCTCTGTTTTTTCTCGGATCTGTTTTCGGGGACACCCGCCTCGATTTCCCGTGGGATCTGCCGTGGGTCTGGTTTCCGTGCGGTGTGAATACATCTCCCGCTTCGGCCTAATGTATCTTGTATGAGCTCATTCCGACCAATGAACAGGTGTTCCCCGTTTCGATTTTTTTTCAAACGGAACGCTGTCTGGTTTCTGGTTTCTGCTCCGATTGGTCGCACATGTGCGACTGGTGATGAGTGTTGCAAGCTGAGGTTGTCAACGCCGGGTGCGGGTAAATCTCGGCACGGATCGGCACGTGTGGTAGGAGGTAGCGTGCGATGAGGCCTTGCCAGCTCCTGGTGGTGCCCTCAAGATCGCCGCGCGCATTGGCCGCTCCGCGCCGACGTTGGGATAGAGCTTATTTCTGTCTCCAACAGAGTAGATCCAAACACACTATTGATAGGTGATAGGTACTTAAAACACTCGCACAACGCCCGCCTTTCACAGCTCAGCCTTTCAGGGCTTGGGCATGACAAGCAACGGCCCCGCCGGTCGGCGTCCGATGCATGAGGCAGCCACGGCGTTTCCGCTCGGGATCGCGGCAGCCTGGCGGACCCGACCGCATCGCAGGCCTCCCTCCCGTGAGCCACAAAAGTGCGTGGCAGCGCGGCGCGTCGCCAACCTCGCTTTCGGAGCAAAAACCAGAAACCATAATGCCGGTGGGCTCACGATCTATCGCGCGATATTTCGATAAAACCCCTGCTATATCGAAAACCCAGAAACCAGAAACCAGACCACCGCGTCCCCCCCAAGGGTTCCTCCCACCCAGAACATGCTGCTGTCTTAGTACTCCCGTTCGACCCATTCGGAATCCGATGAGTTAATGAAGGGGTCATTCCGCCGGAATGACCCCTCCCGGGAGAGATCGTTCACACCTCGAAAAACCAGAACCCAGAGCGTCTGGACCGATATTCCCATGGCCGGATGTTTTCTGTGGGATGTGGCGAAAAAGCAGAATACAGAGCTCCTCCTCCTAGAAGTCAGACGTTTTCTTGAGAGGAGGCAGGAGCTGATATGCCCGAGGCCGAGAGCGGGGCGAGCGCGGGGCGGGGGGGGGGGGGGGTGGAGGCCGTGGTATCTCAGTATGTTATATCCTATGATATAACATAATGGTGTCTGGTTTGTCCATGCCTCTTATTTTGATATATATTTGATTTTGAGCGGTTTTTACTACGATTTCTAGATCGATCCTTGGCGCCGCGCGGTGCCGCTCCACACACCGCACACACCAGCCGGCGCACACACTCGGGCGCGTGAGCGTCCCGACGCGCTGTACCACGCACACGAGGAGCCTGCGCACCGCGGCTGTACTGCATGCACAGAGAGGGAGCGCAGCGCCCGGCAGCGGGGAGCCTAGGCGAGCGCGGCGGCCATGCGGCATCAGCGGAAGCGGTCGAGCGAGCTGCTGTGGATGTGGTTGTCGTACTTTTGCTCCATGCCCGCGTCGCCCCTGCTCGGCGCGCCGCCGGCCCGCGCGCCAAAGAGCGGCCTGCCGCTCGGGTCGCGCGCGCCGCCGCCGCCGGCGCCGCTCCCCAGCGCGGGGAAGGCGCCAAGGCCCGAGGGCGGCGCCTGCTGCGGCGCCTGGGCGGTCGGGTTGGCCCACGAGACGGAGAGGATGAGGTGGTCGTACCCGTGGCCGTCGAGCGTCGCGATGGCCTGGGCGGCGTCCTCGCGGTTGTAAAAGTTGATGAAGGCGAACCCGCGCGACTGGTGCGTCTCCTTGTCCTTCGCGAGGTAGATGCGCTGGATGCCCCCGAAGCGGCGGAAGAGCTCGCGCAGGTCCGAGTCCTTGACGTCCTCGGAGAGATTCGAGACGCGGACGGTGCACGAGTCGTCGCGCTGCGCGAGCTCCGCGTTGCGCGAGCCGTCCGCGTTGCGCAAGCTCGGCGGCACGTATCCGCCGCGCCCGCCGCCCTCGGCCAGCGCGGCGAGGCCGCCGCCGCCCGGCCCGCCGTGGTCGTGGTGCCCCATCCGGTTGGCAACGTCGTTGACGGCGTCGCCGCGGTTCTTTGGCCGCCACGCCTCAAAGGTGCCCGCGTTCATCTTCTCGAAGGCGCGCTCCGCAGACTCGTTCCGCTCCTCCGCCACCACCTGCTTTGGCTTCATGTCGAGCAGCTGCTCGTTCACGTCGAGCGTCACCCACTCGCTGACGTGGCCGCGCCCGTGGTACCCTGCGGGCTTGTGCTTCTCCGCCCCAAACTTGTTCCACTTGCGCCGCTCCAGCACCGCCTTTGGGATCTTGACCGTCGTCTTGGTCACCTTGACTGTCCGCTCCGTCTTGATCTTTTGGCCCATGTCGTTGGTCCGGACGGTCGTGATGGTCTTGACGCCGTTGACGTCGACGTCGGTCTCGAACCTGAGCCGCGGCGCCAGGCGGGTCAGGCGGCGGCCGCGACGGGCCAGCGCGCCGCGTCCACGCAGCGGCGGCGCAGGGAGAGAGGCAGGCGGCGCGCAGAGAGGGCGCACCGGGGAGGCAGGTCAAAGTTCGCGTCGCCCTGGGCCTCGTCGTCCCCCCAGCCCGGCGCCATTCGCTCGGTTGTGGGCGGGGGTGAGATCGGCGGTGGCGGAGCGCCGGGACTCGAGGCAGCTATGGGACACACATAAAGAAATCAAAGCGCTCTGTTTTCTTTTCTCCCATCCCTCCCTTGGGTTGTCTGTTTTCTTTCTTTCTTTTATTTGTTTTCTTTCTTTCTGCTGGGAAGAGGTTCCTCGTTTCCGCGCCCCCGATTTCACCGCGCCCGTCGTGCCTGGCCGCCCCGTGCTTCATCCTCTTCATCTCTCCGTAGACCAGCTCCACACTACAACCTCGCCCTCTTGCCCCCCTCCCCCCCGGCACCTCCCGCCGCCGCCTCCGCGGTGCTGCCGCCGCCGCTCCTCCCCGCCACACCGCCCGCGGCCGCCGCCGCCTCCGCAGGCCGCCGCTTCCGCTTCTTCGGCCTGGCGCCGCGGCCCGCCTGCCGCCCCGGCCGGCGGCCGCCGCGCTCCCACTCGGCAGCGCGCAGCTTGTACAGCCGGAGCGCCGCCACCGCGTCCTCGAGCGGCGAGTGCTCGCCCTGCTGGATCCGCATCCCGAGCAGCTCGCGCGCGAGGTCGGAGAGCTTGCGCGCGCGCGAGGTGGGGCCGCCCTGCGCGCGGAAGGGCGCGTACATCGCCGTGTCGCGCTGCTGCCTCTTCGGGTGCGACATCTGCAGCGCCTTGAGGTCGTTGTGCAGCGCGTGCCCGACCAGCCGCCGCTTGTAGAGCAGCCGCGTCACCTCGGCCTGCGCCTGCTGGAACGGCACGGCGCGGGCGAGGTGGTGCGGCCGGATGCCCGACACCGCCGTCCGAAAGTCGCTCACCGGCTCGGCCGGCCGCACGTACGCCGCGTAGACGAGCTCCTCGCGCGAGTTGATCAGCACGACCTGCGCGAGCGCCGAGCGGGCGCCGCCGGGCCCGACGCCGACCATCTCGCAGTCCAGCGCGAGGACGTCGGTCAGCGCGGCCCCGTCGGCGCGGAAGGGCAGCGGAGGCAGCCGCGCGGCGAGGCCGCCGGCGCTGGTGGCGGCGGCGGCCGGCGCGGCGCTCGTGGCGGCAGGCGCGGCGGCGGCCTGCGCCGGCCGCGGCGCGGCCTTTTCGATGCTCTTTCGCCGGGCCGGTTTGCCGCCGGCCGACGACGACTTGCCGGCCTTGAGCCGCGCCTGGAGCGCCATCCAGTTGGAGGCCATAGCGTCGCCGGAGAGGGAGGCGGCGACAAAAAGGGCTGGAGACGACGGAGGCGGCAGAGAGAGAAAGAACCACGCTCCTTGTGAAAAAATCCAATAGAGGGTTGGAGGGCGGGAGAATCCAAAAAAGCCGTCCGAAAAGCCACAAAAAGCCAGCGAGCCTCCCGTTACGCGATTGCCGCGAAGAAATCCAAAAGTTCTTGCCCCCATTCTCATCTGGCAACATGCGTGCTTGAGGCTGGCTACGGCCACTACTTCGCTCCAGAGCCGTCCCGCCATCCCTGCCGTTTGCGATCCCGGCCTCACCGTCTTTCTAGCAAGAGCCTGGCTGCACCGCTCTAGCAAGAGACTCTAGGATCTCCTCTTGCGAAGATTTTGCTGCGTTGGCTCGCCAAAGAGTCTTGTTGTTCTCGATAGCTGCTCGATGGCGCTGACTTGGGAGTGTGTGTTTTCGTAGAGAAGGAAACACGCACGTCGTCCGGGTTCTGTCGAGCGTGCGGGCCGCCGGGCGGTCGGTTAGGGCGGAGGCCAGGGCGCCAGGCTTGCGAGAGGGCGAGAGCTAGTGCGAGAGTTATCAGTTTTGCGTCCTAGCCTCCAACAACGCCTCCCCGGCGCAGAGGGCCCCCCGGAGGGATGCTCAACCGCCCCACGCCACGCCGCTTGCGGCGGTCCTATTCCCAGCTCTTCCGGGGCCACTTCTTATCACATGCACTGCCGTTCTTATAACGGAGTCGCTTAAGGCGGCTCCGGTGGTGAGCCGGTGTGTGTGCCAGTCCGCGCCAGTCCCCGCCCTTGTCGTGCCAGCGTGCTGTGAGAAGGCTGTGTTAAGGTTGCTCCCGGCCCAGTGGGGATTTTGGCCTACTCAGTGATCGTCTAGGGGCCCTAAATGGCCTGCAATGCCATATCTTTTGTGCCTAGGTTGTAGAGCACCTTAAAAAAGGACTATGTCTTGGAGTGAAAAGTTTTTCGAGGAGGTGGGGGTTCTCCAGATTCCCCCTCGAAAACCGCCCCTTTTAATTCACTGCGGCCGCGGCCTTGCTCGGATTACTTTTCACTCGAAGACATAGTAGTTTTTTGGTGTTACGGTGCCAACAAAAAATATCCGACATCATATGGAGCTGACCACAGGGTCACTGTCCTGCCAGCGGGCACAGTGGGCCGCTATCGCCCATGAATGACCTAAAGAATTCTAAGTAACACGGAGTTGTGCGTGAGCCACAGGGCGGCGCTGCTGCGCGCTTTTCATGAACCGATCCCTCGATGGCTGGCTCAGCAAGCTCGCCACCACCCGGTCGGGGACCAGCATGTGGCAGCGCCGCTGGTTCGTGCTGAGCGGCGATCGATTGCAGTACTTCAACAGCCCGGGCGATGTGGGCGGCGGCGACGCAAAGTGGACGCTCGAGCTCAGCGCGCTCGGCGCGAGCACGAGCGACGGGCCGGCGGACCAGGCCGACGCCGCGCGGTTCGAGTTGCTCGCCGGCGGCCAGGCCTATTCCCTCCGCGCCGATTCCGAGGTTGAGGCCGAGATGTGGCGTGCGGCTCTCGACACGCCCACCGCCGGCTCGGCTCTTCCGGCACCGTCAGCAGAGCCGCCGGCGGGCATGAGCCTCTTCGACGGCCTCGCCGTGCCTGCCGCGACACCCGCCGCGGCAGTCGGCTCCTCCTTCGGATTCTGCTCCCCGTCGCCGCCGCCCGAGCCGGAGCCGAGTGGAGGCCAACCCGCAGGCTCGCTGCAGCCGAGCTCGCTGCAGGGAGGCTCGCTGGCGGGAGGCTCCTCGTTCGGCTTCCTCGCTTCGGCCGGACCGGGAGGGCCGGCGGCCACTCCGCCGCCCGCTCCTGGAGCCGCTCCGCCGCCCGCCGCAACAAAGAAGAAGAAGATTGTGCGCAAGGTGATGCCGCCCCGCACCCCCGACACACCTCCCGACACACCTCCCGACACACCGGCGACTCGCGTCCCCGCGACACGCGACACGCCCACCAGGCGAGGCAGCCGGGCGGGTTCGACGCCGACGCCGCCGAGGGCGCGCCGCCGCCCTCCCTCGCCGAGCCTCCGCCCGCCGCCTCCCCGCCTCCGTCGGAGCACGCCGCCTCGCCGCCTCCCTCCGAAAGCGCCGCCGGCGGAATGTTCGCCGGGCTCGACCTCGCCACTTGGTCCGCGCCCGGCGGCACGAGCCTGGACGGCGCCGCTCCGCCCGAGCAAGGCGGGCTATTCGCAGGCATGTGCACTCCGGGCGTCTGCGCTCCCAGTGCGAGCGCCGCCGCGCCGCTCGCCGAGCCTCCGCCGCCTCCGCCTCCTCCGAGGACGGCCTCTCCCGGAATGCCTCCCTCCGCCTTCCGCGCCACCTCGGTCCGCACCACCGCGCCACCGCACCACCGCGCGGCGCACTCCTTCGCCCGATCCGAGGCCCACCCCTCCATAGGCCCGCTCGTCGCCCGCTCCGCCGCCCGCGCGCGCCGCCCGCGCCGCCGCTTCGTCGGCCTGCGCCTCGTCGGCCGCCTCGTCGGCGGGCGGCTCGTCGGCGGAGGAGTCGCCGCTGCCGTCCCCGCACGAGTCGGCGCCCGCGGCGCGGGCACCGCGTGCCGCCGCCCTCGGGGACGCCGCCCGCGCCGGCAGCCGCAGCCGCAGCCACCCGAACATCCACCCGAACATCCACCCCCCGAGGCCTCCGCAGCCGCCGCCACGCAAGGCGCCAGAGGAGGTTGACGTCGCCCCCAGGGTGGCCCAGACGCGGCTGCGGGTGCGGCCTTCCCCCTCGGGCGGCTCCCCCCCCCCCCCCCCCTCCTCTCTCTCCTCTCCTCTCGCTGAGAGTGCGGACCCCGCCACTCACCCGCCACTCACCCGCCACTCACCCGCCACTCACCCGCCACTCACCCGCCACTCACCCGCAGGTGCGCGAGCTGTCGGAGCAGCACGCGCAGCTCTGCGCCGTGCAGCTCGGCCTGCTGCGGCAGCGGGCGAGCCGCGAAGGTGAGCTCGCCTCGCTCAAGCAGAGCCGCGCGGCGGCGCAGGCGGCGCAGGCGGAGGCGTCTGCGGCGGAGGAGTACGAGCGGGCGGCTTCCCTCGCGGCGGAGCTCGAGGCGCTCGAGGGGAGGGAGGCGGAGCTGGCGGAGGGCGAGGCGGAGGGCGAGGCTTCCTACGCGAGGGCCGCGGAGCGGCAGGCGGCGCTGCTCGGCGAGCAGCGGAGCTTGTGGGCGGACCAGGTCGGCGAGGCGCGGCGCTGCCTCGCGGCGAGAGAGGAGGTCGCGGCGAGGGAGGCGACCGCGCGCGAGTCGCTCCTCGAGGCGCAGGAGGAGCGGCTGGGCGAATAAGAACAAGGAGTCAGAGTCATGATGATGATGATAACAACAATAGGCGCAGGAGGAGCGGCTGGGCGCGGAGCGGGAGCGGCTCGACGACGAGCGGCGGCAGCTCGACGCCAAGGGGGACTCGCTGCTGGCGAAGCAGGCCGAGGCGGAGCACGCCATCGCCGAAGAGACGCGCGGCCTCGGACGCGGCGGGACACGTCCACGCCACGCCCATGACACGTCCGCGACGCGCCCCGCAGGCGCGGCCCGGGCGAGGAGATGGCGAGGCTCAAGGAGGAGGAGGAGGCGCTCGCCGAGGAGGTCGCGGCCCTGCTCGCCAGGCTCGAGGCCAAGCGCGCCGAGCAGGACGAGTGCGCGCGCAAGGTCGCGGTCTGCGGCGCCGCCATCGGCGAGGTGCGGGAGATATGGGGAGATATGGGGAGATATGGGGAGATATGGACGCCATCGGCGGGGTGCGGCGGCGGCGCGGCGAGTCGTGGTGCGGTACCCCTCCGAGGCACGCCCGTGACACGTCCCCGCCGCGTCTCTCGCGCAGGTGCGGCAGCGGCACGCCAAGCAGCTGCAGCGGCTGCAGACGAAGCAGGAGACGCTGGCCGCCGCAAGAGACGCGCACGCCCAGGCGGCGGCAGGGCTGCAGGCGGCGGCCGCTGCGCACGAGGAGGAGCTGCGCGCGACGGAGGAGCAGCAGGAGGCGCGGCGCGGATGGATCGGTTCGGCGGAGAGCGCCATCGCCGACGCTGACGCGGAGGCGGCGCGGCACGGCGCGCGGGCGGACGCGATTGCGCGCGTGGCGTCCGCCGAGGAGGCGCTTCGCTCGCACCGGGCGCAGGAGCGGTCGCAGCTGCACGACCTCGAGGAGGAGGCTGCGTCCATCCGCGCGGCGCAGCGCACGCACGCCGACTCGGTGGTGCAGATGGAGGCGGAGGCGGAGCTTCTCTCGCGGCAGCTCGGCACGCTGCAGGACCAGCGCGTGCGGCTCGAGCGCGACAAGCGGCTCGCCGCCTCGTCGCAAAAGTTCGCCGAGGCGGGGAAGGTTGCCGCCGAGCTCAAGTCGCTCGCCGCGCGCTTCGAGGCGGACAAGGAGGCGCAGGAGCGGCTGCTCGGCCAGGCGGAGGCGGCGAGGAGCGCGCAGGCGGACGGGGCGGGCGGCGCCGGGGAGGCGGTTCGCCGACCCTGCCCTGAACGTTCTCCGAACCTTCCGATAGGCGCACGACGGGCGGCGCGAGGCGGAGCTGCACGCAGAGCTGCGCACGGAGCAGCGCGAGCTGGACGCGACGCGCTACCGGCGCGCGGGAGGCGGGAGGGGGGGGGGGCGGGCCGTGTCGGCGGCGCGTGAGGCGCGGGTGTCTCGTTCGAGCGGTAGGCTGCTGCGCGAGCACGAGGCCGCGATGCAGGCGGCGCTGCCCGCGGCGGAGGGGGCGCAGGCTTCCCTCTTGCGCGAGCAGCTGAGCAGCAGCCAGGCCGCGCGGGGCGAGCTGCGCGCCACGTGGGGTTGGGACGAGGAGGGGCGCGCCGCCGCGGGCGCGGTGGGGGCGAGCGACGACGACGAGGAGGAGGAGAACAGCGATGGCGCGGGGAAGAGCGGGGCGGGGAGCGGCTACGCGTCTGCGAGCGCGGCTGTATCGCCACCCGCGATCTCTGCCGTCCTCTCCGCGCTCGCGCCATCGGCCGGCACTTCGCAGGCGGTACTCGCGGCGCTCGCCGACTCGGACGATTCAGACGAGGAGGAGGCGGGCGGGGCGGGCGGGCGTTGTGGTGTCGCACCGGCGAAGGCGGCGGCGGCCGGCGGGGAAGCGGTCGCAAACGGAAACGGCAACGGCAACGGGGTGGGCGCCGTGGCGGCTGCGCCGGCTGTCTGCCCTCCCGGCTCGAGCACGGACGAGCCAAGCGAGGGGTCCGAGGACACGAGAGCCGCGCTGGAGGCGCCGCTCACTTGTCCGGGTGGCTCCCGCGCAGCAGCCCCGCTGTGCCGCTTAGCCCTCCCCGGCCCCGCCGCCCCAGGCGCGGCTCTCAGAGATGGAGGACCAGATGCAGGCGGCGGTGGACGCCGACGACTTTGAGGAGGCGTCGCGCATCCAGGATGAGCTCGACGCGCTCAACGACGCGATCGACGCCCTCGGGTAGCCCATATGGCTGGCCATCTATGTGGCGCATGTGGGCCGCGTGGCGCCCCCGCGAGCGGGCGGGGCGCCGGCGCGGTCTCGTGGTGCCGCTGCGCGCTGGGCTCTGCTAAGAGTCGCGGGTTGCGGCCGAGGTCTTGTGTGTCTGTGTGTGAAGTCTGAAAGATCCAAGACCGCCCGCAAAGATGAGAACGACACACGGCAGAAGGAGTCTATTGCAAGCCGGTTATCGCGCGGCCGCCCGCGCCCCTCGTTTTTAGAAGTGAGAATCTCTCTCAGAGTCCTCACACGCCGCCCGCACAAAACGGGGTCCCGGGGAGGTCTCGCGGTTGTATGTATATAAGTAGAGGAACGAGTGGAGAGGACAGGGAGGGACGTTTATTGTTGGCGGTCGTGCGCTGGGTGGTAATCGTCATCTGTCTGCTCTGCTGTGCTTCTCGCTCGTGCGTCCTTGGAAGTTGTGCTGACCTCCTTTCCCCCCTGAGGGAGGGTGTAGAGGATGTAGAGTGTAGAGCGCTGTAGAGATGTAGAGATGTAGAGCGCTCTGGAGCGCTGTAGAGCTGTAGAGCTCTACATCCGCCGCATGACGAGGCGCCTGCGTTGTAGAGCAATGTAGAGGGCGATTTTGCTGTAGAGTTTGTTGTAGAGGCTCTACAGCCAAACCGCCGGGAAGGCAGTGACTCAAAGAGGTCGAGCCGCGCTAATGGGGTGTCTCCGAGCTTACTGGAGCTCTGATGGACAGCCCTGACTATCCCTGACACACAGAGAGTCACTCTGACGGCACACAACACCCTATAACTGCGTCATGACCAGCCTGCCATGCGTCGCCGGTGCCGCATTCGTCGCTGTGCTTCTTTAGCAGGCGGTGGACTGTCGGCTGCGAGGACGGTCGCATTTGCGCGAGGCGAGGCGAGCATTGCTGCGCGTTGCATGCGCCATGACTCGCGCCAGGCGCCGAGGCGCCGGCCAGTCGCAGCCGTGAGGCATGCCACAGCAGCAGAGGCACCTGCCACCCATTGGGCGGGCAGACAGAAGGCCAGGGCAGCACTGGCAAGTGCAACGCGCCTCATGTCGGAGACAGGTCGGAGAGCGACACCGTGCCTCGTTCGCCGCTTATGATGAAGAGTTTGTTGTAGACATTGAACGTTGAGCACTTGAGCACTGGATAGGGTCGATTCCGCATGGTACGGGACCCCTCGATCGTCTCGCCCTCCCTCTCTGGTGTGTTCATTGGGGGGGGTCATAACAAACACGGTACAGGATCGAGGTGCACGCTGCCGAAGCAGTGTCGTCCCCCCTCTCCCCGACGGCGATGGCGGTGTGACCGATCGAGCTACAAGAGGAGCTTGTTCAGCAGGATCCGGGGAGGTCTGGCGCACTACCTCACTGGGCCTGAGACCGCCGAGACAGTACCCGTCACCGCCTCGGATTTGTGTGGAGTCGAACCACTCCGGGATGAGCAAGCTCATCGTTCTGAGTTGTGCTGTCTCTTGCCTGCAAACAGCGGGGGGGGGGGGGGGTGCCGAATGGGCCGGACCAAGAAAAAGCCCCCCCCCCCGAAGGGGGGGGGGGGACGGGTACGGGGGGGTCCAGCCGATCGAAAAAGATAGACATAGCAACTCGAAGACGTATTACACAACCACCTCGCCACACGTTCCATTGGTTAATTGTCAAAATTCCTGTTGTGCAAGGGGGGAGAGGGCTCTGACGGAGTGTGCGGCGGGGGGGGTGGGGGGGCTCAGCCGTGCAAAAAGCATCAATTAATATATTAACGAAGAAATATTGCTCGGCCGTTCATGAAGTCCGTCTCGATCTGGAGGAGACGGGTCAACCCCGTGAGGACCAGATCAGGTTCACATTGTCGTAGCCGGAGGGGATGTTGACATTTAGCTCATGGAGCCAACCTTTCGCTTTGGTTTTTTCCCCCAAAACCATTCGGCCAACTTATACCAAATTCGACGATTGCATTTAGATTGCTTTTACCACTCGGGCAAACTCGATGAAACGGTGGACGGAAAGCGCGTTCGCGGCCGCTCGCCGGAGAGCTATGCATGAAGCGGCCGGCGCGCCACCGCAGCTCACCGATGGAGCTTGCGCCGCGGCTCAATCCACAGGCGCAGCAGCATTGCGACCCATTCTCCAAGCACGGCCTCTGGCGTTGCGAGTGCACAGAGAGCGAGCAATAGTCGACAAAAGCACTGATCTGTGTGCAGCGGATCTCCATGTCGGTCGCGCCCTGCGAAAGGACAACCGCGGGCCGCGGATTTCACGTTGTAGAGCGCCTCTACATCGCTCTACAACGCAGGCGCTTCGTCACGCGGCGGATGTAGAGCTCTACAGCTCTACAGCGCTCCACATCGCTACAGCTCTACAGCGCTCTACACTCTACATCCTCTACACCCTCCCTCAGCCTTTCCCCTCCTGCTCTCCTATGCCACGTACGTGGCTGTGGTGTGTTTGGGTTGTCTATGACTATGTTTGCGATTTGGATTTTGGATTTTGTACTGCACTTTGTTTATTTTATTTATTTATCCGCGCCCCCCGGTCCCCCCATCACCGCCCAGGGGCAGGGCACAAGGGCCATTCCGCCAAGGCCACGGCAAGGGAGGGCCCGCGCCGCCCCCGCACGCTCGGCCGAGGCGCCGCCGCGCACGCGCTGTGGGGCCTGAATCCTGATCATACTGCGTCTGGTAGGAGGCTGGAGACACCCCGCTAGAGAGACACCCCGGTGTCAAGATAAACCGAGATGGCGTTTGACATCTAGGAGATGCGCATATGCCATCTCTGTGTACGGTAGACCTGGGGGTGGGGGGGGGGGGGTAGCCGCCCCTGACGTCGAAGATCTATTCTCGATCTGTGGATTGTGTTGCGACCTGAAGGGGCTGTCGCTGTCGGAGCACGGAGGCGAAGCGCCGAAGCCGCCGACCGGACGGCGTCGGCGACGCGCGAGCAGCATAATTGAGGTCTCGTGTGGCCAGGCCTGTCTCGTCTAAGTGTACACGTCGTGCGCTCTGATTCATGCTGCTGACTGCACACACATCACCCATCACGATACGCTGCTCTCCACCCATGCTTACGTGCGCTCTCCATCAATCACCCCGAGCCCGCCCTTGCCCCCTCGGCCCCCTCCTGCACCGCCGCGGCCCCTCTGCTGCTGGGGCGCACGTCCTCCCTGCTGGCTGGGGCGCGCGCGCCGGCTGCGTGTGCTGCATCGCCAGGCGCTGCGCCATAGTCATGCCCTGCACAGCCGACATGGGTCGAGTCCCACAGTGTGTGGCGTCTGTCTACTCCGCCTTGAGGGGCGCTGGGTGGCAACGCAAAAGAAGAAACTAATTGTGGGTCTGGGTCTACTGGGTGGGAGGTTAATCAATGATAGAAAGTGCTCCAAGTGCTCATCCTTTCCTTTGGTAAGCTCTGGGACCTAGTACCTAGAAGAGTTGCAAGAAAGCGAAAGCGAAACGCGGGCAAGCAGGGACTCCCGCGGTTCGCCTTTTCTCCTGGCCGGAGCACCTCGCGTAACGGAAGTCGGAGGGCTAGCTGCGTCTTTTTTGCTGCCTTTTATCCTTTTGACGCCTTCGCAAACGGTTGTGCGGGCTGTCGATTAATAAGACGGCTTCTTCTTCTTAGACTTAGTCGCGCGTCCCCAGCGCGTCCCCAGCCTCCCCACACACCTACCTACCGACCGTCATATTTGGAGCGGCCGCACATTGCTCGGTACCCCCCCTGCACATCTAAAGCCATCCCTGCTGCTAGGGGGGGGGGGTCCTGACCCCCCCAGCAGCAGAGCGCACGGACCCAGCTCTCCCGCCTCTTCGCCGCCGCCCCCCCTCCACCCTCGGCTCGTGTTTGAGCGTACGCTCGAGGCGGTTGTGTTCACCGCGCCTTCGTGCTTCGAGCCCGGTTGGCAGTGTAGGAGGGCCCGCCGGTGAGACCACTGATTTTGGTGCCGACCATAAATTCTCGCCACTGGAACACATGCTACTTACAGCTGCTGTCTGTACAGAGATGCCAGCACCCCCCACAGGCAGAGCGCTGCTGCTGGGGGGGGGGGTCGGCCATGGCTTTAGATGTGCAGGGGGGGTACCGAGCAATGTGCGGCCGCTCTTGAGGGTTAGGTTTCCGGAGCCTCGGGTGCTTTTACGCTTTTGATCGGGAGGGGAGAGTGCGACTCTTTCCACTTTGGTCCTCTCGGTAGCTTCGGCATTTCTCAAAAATTTCCGCACATAGCTCACGGCCCGCCCGGCGCGCAGCTTGGAAGATTTTTTTCTATTAGTCCCGCACAGAAAAATGCTGCCGCTCGCCTCGAAAGCACCCGCCGGTGTGTGTCCAAACATGTATAGCGCTACATGCACAAGTTGAGAGAGAGAGACGCACAAGTTTGTAACACATAAGGACGCATCCTCCCACAACACACTTTCGCGCCTGGGCAACGGTGATGCTCCCGTCACGCCGCTCGTTTCGTTGTCCGCCTACACCGCTCCGGCCGCAGCCTCGGCAAGTGCCTTCACACGCGCTGGGTCAGGTGCAGCAGCAGCCAGTGCGCAGCAGAAGCAGCCAGTTGCAGCAGCAGCAGCCAGTGCAGCAGCGAGTGATCACGTTTGCACAAGCGGTGGGCGGTCGTCATGTGCTGCGATGAGTCACTTTGGCTAAATCCCATCAGAAGGCCCCGCGTCAACCCGGCTCCACGAAAGCACAGTGTGGCGCGGTGCAATCAGTGGAGGCAAAATCGGCTCAAAAACAACGCCAAGATTGCGCAGATAGCACTGGCTCGTTATAGCGAGGCGACCGAGCGCGAGAGGCTGGTGCAGAGCGTGCAATGCAGGAGATCCACTCTCGCGCTACAATGCTAGCGCGGGAGGCGAGTTCGCGGGAAGAGGAGCTGGTGGCGATGAAGGTGGTGGAGCTCAAGGAGGAGCTGGGCAAGCGTGCCGAGGCCCACTCGGGCAACAAGGCGTGGCTGCGCCGCCGGCTGCACGCCGCTATAGTGAGCGAGTATTTGGAGAGCGCGCCGCGGGCGCCGACGGAGAGAGAGGAGAGTAGAATGTCCAAAATTTTCGCGCGCCTGCGGCGCGCGACTATCGCGACGAATTCGCTTTCTCATTCACATTATAGGGACAGTTTCTTTGTCGTAGCACGTATGGATTGCTCTCCAGCAACCCTAACATCGCCTCACACGTAATGCGGCGTGGCTGTCGGACGGTGAGAGTGTCGTATCTCGTACGGCTCTGATGTACACTACACGGTCAACGCCTGAATGCGATGCGGGAGAGCGCCGTGCGCCCGGGTGTGGGAAGGAGAGTGCTATCGAAGACAAGGCCGCCTCCCTCCCGCACACCGGCGCACACACACCAGCGCACACACACACCACTGCACAGACACGGCGGAGGACCAGAGCAACGAGACAGGAGGGGAGGGGAGGAGACCGGGCGGGAAGGGCGGATGACGGCATCTCGAGCCTCGCCACGGTCCTCCGCGTCGAGGTCGCTGGCACGAGCCGACCGATCAGTCCTTGACACCCGCCTTTCTCAGCTCCTCGGCCAGCTCTCCACTCTGGTGCAGCTCCACCTGCGGCGGGGCGAGCGCAGGGGCTAGGCCGGTGGCCTCGCCACGCGCAGACGTGAGCGCGTTGGGATCGAGGCTGCGCGCACCGTAATGTCGCAGCCTCCAATGAACTCGCCGCCAATGTACAGTTGCGGAACCGTCGGCCAGTTTGAGAACTCCTGTGGAGAGTGCATTGTTGCCGAGGGAAAGGGCTGGCGGCAGTGGGGCGGGCCTCGGAGTGCGCGCCTTGACGCCCTCGCGCACGTCGGGGTCCGCGAGGACGTTGATGCCCTTGAATGGTACGCCCTGAGTCTTGAGCACCTGATCCAGACGCCGTGCTTCTCAGCGGAACCGGCACAGGTGCGTTGGCAGCGGCAGCGGCTCAGTGGCCATTCACCTCCACGACCTGTTTGGAGAAGCCGCACATAGGTGCGCTCGGGACGCCCTTCATGAAGACGACGACCGGGTTGGCTTCAATCTCCTTCTGGATCTGGTCCTTCACGTTGCCGTCCGCCGCAAACTTCTTGCGCTGCGGCATGAAGTCGCTGTCCGAGCAGAGCGTTCGCGCCGGGCCCGGGCGCGCCGCCGCCAGCCGCGCCGCCGCCAATCGGCCGCAAGGAGCGCGGGTGGCCGTGAGCGCCAGCCTCCGTACGAGCATGGCCTGCGAAGCGTCGCAAAAGAAGAAACGCAGGCTTCCTTTCGATCTTCGTGCACGTGGGGACCCTGTCCTTCTCCCACCCCTTGTTTGGTGTGTCCGTTTTATTTATTTATTTAGATGCCCATCCTTCCCTTGTGGGTCCATGCTGCCTGTTTTCTTTCTTTCTTTCTGTCGCGATGCGCTCCCCACTCCCGTTCCCCTGTGTCCCTGATCGTCCTTCCAAAATCCTGCTCGTGCAGGTGGGGACCCTGTCCTCGTCCCATCCCTCGTTTTGAGGAGGGAGTGTAGAAGTATGTATGTCTGAGGTGAAGAACAGCCAGTCTCTATGTATGGGTGGAAGACGCACAGACAGGCTGGATCGCAGAACGGCAGGAGTGATGGCCACACAACACATGCAAATAAAGCTCCGCAGCTGCGCGGGTCTTCCAGTATCGCCTGAGACGGCTACGCGAGAGGCGAGTGTGGCCGACATGCGTCATGCGAGAGTGGTCAAAGAGAAACAAACACATCTCTCTCTCTCTCAAAGAAACCATGATCGCACAAGCACATTTAGGTCCCTAAATCCTATCTCGTCTCAGAGACAGAGTTTGATTTCATTTACAAAGAAAATGTGAATGAAATTCATCGCGATTTGGCCGATCGCACGGACTGAGAAGAAGCAGCCGTCAGCGTCTTTATTAAAATTAATCGACAGCCCGCACAACCGTTTGCGAAGGCGTCAAAAGGATAAAAAGCAGCAAAAAAGACGCAGCTAGCCCTCCGACTTCCGTTACGCGAGGTGCACCGGCCAGGAGAAAAGGCGAACCGCGGGAGTCCCTGCTTGCCGTTTCGCTTTCGCTTTCTTGCAACTCTTCTAGGTACTAGGTCCCAGAGCTTACCAAAGGAAAGGATGAGCACTTGGAGCACTTTCTATCATTGATTAACCTCCCACCCAGTAGACCCAGACCCTTAGTTTCTTCTTTTGCGTTGCCACCCAGCGCCCCTCAAGGCGGAGTAGACAGACGCCACACACTGTGGGACTCGACCCATGTCGGCTGTGCAGGGCATGACTATGGCGCAGCGCCTGGCGATGCAGCACACGCAGCCGGCGCGCGCGCCCCAGCAGCAGGGAGGACGCGCGCCCCAGCAGCAGAGGGGCCGCGGCGGTGCAGGAGGGGGCCGAGGGGGCAAGGGCGGGCTCGGGGTCGGCCAGGGGGGCGGCGGGCGGGGGGGCGCCTACAACGGCAACTTGGAGCCGCACCGCGCGCAGTCGGCGCAGCCGCTGACGCAGGCGAGCCTGGACCAGCAGGCGGCGCAACTCGCCGCTGCACAGGCAGAGGTGGCGAGGCAGCAGGCACTGCTGCTGCAGCAGCAGCAGGCGCTCGCGCAGCAGCAGGCGGCGATGCAGAGCCGGGCCGCGGCCCCCTCCGCGCCGCTATCGTACCCCCCCCAACAGCCCCAGCCGCCGGCCGCGCCCCGCAACGTGCGCACGGCGCCGGCGCCGGGCACGAGCAACAATGGGGGCGACTGGAGAGAGACGTTGGTGCTGCCGGCCAAGGACGAGCGGGTCCAGACGGCCGACGTGACCGCCACCAAGGGAAACGACTTTGAGGATTACTTCCTCAAGCGCGAGCTCCTCATGGGCATTTTCGAGGCCGGGTTTGAGCGGCCCTCGCCGATCCAAGAGGAGAGCATACCCATCGCCCTCGCGGGGCGGGACGTGCTCGCGCGCGCGAAAAACGGGACGGGCAAGACGGCCGCCTTTGTGATTCCCATCCTCGAGAAGGCCGACTCCTCCAAGAACCACATCCAGTCCATCATCCTCGTCCCGACGCGCGAGCTCGCGCTCCAGACGTCGCAGGTCTGCCGCGACCTCGGCAAGCACCTCCACCTCGAGATCATGGTCTCGACGGGCGGCTCGTCGCTGCAAGAGGACATCCTCCGGCTCATGAAGCCGGTGCACCTCATGATCTCCACGCCCGGCCGCATCCTCGACATGGCCGAGAAGAACGTGGCCGACCTGACGCGCTGCGGCACCGTTGCCCTCGACGAGGCGGACAAGCTCCTCTCGCCAGAGTTCATGCCGCTCGTCGAGAAGCTGATCCGGCGGATGCCGCCCGGGCGGCAGATCCTGCTCTTCTCCGCGACCTTCCCCGTCAAGGTCGCCTCCTTCCGCGACCGCGTCATGAACAAGCCGTACGAGATCAACCTGATGGACGAGCTGACGCTGCACGGCGTGACGCAGTACTACGCGTTCGTCGAGGAGAAGCAGAAGGTGCACTGCCTCAACACGCTCTTCGCCAAGCTCTCGATCAACCAGTCCATCATCTTCTGCAACTCGACCACGCGCGTCGAGCTCCTCGCCAAGAAGATCACCGAGCTCGGCTTCTCGTGCTACTACATCCACGCTAAGATGGTCCAGCAGGCGCGCGCCACCGCCCCTCCCTCCCGCCCGCCCGCCCGCCCGACCCCCCCCCCCCCGGGGTCGCGCCACGCTCCACATCCCTCGCCCCCTCCCTCCGCAGCACCGGAACCGCGTCTTCCACGACTTCCGCAACGGCGCCTGCCGAAACCTGGTCTCGTCGGACCTCTTCACGCGCGGGATCGACATCCCCTCCGTCAACGTCGTCATCAACTTCGACTTCCCCAAGCAGGCAGAGACCTACTTGCACCGCATCGGCCGGTCCGGCCGCTTCGGCCACCTCGGCCTGGCCATCAACCTCATCACCTTCGACGACCGCTTCAACCTCTACAAGATTGAAAAGGACCTCGCCACCGAGATCAAGCCCATCCCGCCGCAGATCGACACGGCGCTCTACGCGTATGCGTGAGCGCGCCGTGCGGCGGCGCTGGGCTCGAGCTCGGCGAGTCCCCTTCTCGACACAACCAAGCCGGCACGGGTCGTGACCGCCGCGAGGCGTGACCCAACCGTGCCGGGGGGTTGCAGCTCCCCTCTCCGCAGAGTCCACCCCGCACGCCGAAAGTCTGGCTTTGCCGCGGCGTCCGCCGCCGCCGCCGCCGCCGCCGCCGCCGAGCAATTTGCATTCGCGCTTGCTGCTCAGCGCGCAGCGCGCGCGCGTGCGGCGCCTTTGCCGCCGCGCTTGCGTTTTCGCAGGTTCGGTTCGCGCGACCGCGCCGCGGCTGGGTGTGTCTGTTGTGAGAAGCCTCGAGGCTGGCTCCATAATTAAGAAGGTTAGAATATCGCTCTCGCTGAAAAACCGACTTTCCTCCACTGCTCATATCTGCTCGGTGCTCGCACACAGAGGCATCCTCAGGCTAGGGGGAAATACTGAAAAATGGGACCCCCCGGACGGACCTTGCTTTCATACCGAGCGTGAAGAGCTGAGTCTCAGCTTTCAGACCCTGCAAAAATCATTGAAAAATATTAAGATGGTCCAGAATGGTGACCGAAAGACTCCGGCGCCGCAGCGCTCGCGCTTGCTTTCCTCGCAAATGCGACAAGTGAGGCCCCTGGCAGGGAAAAGAATGATGGCGGCGAAAGAAAAACCTCGGCGAAGACCGCACAAATGCTGCCGCTCCTGGTGAGCGCCAGCCCGCGCCGCGTGCAGGGCGTGTCCGGGGCGCCCTCCCCCCGAGTTCCCCCGCAAAATCCGGCCCGCGGTCGCGCGCGCGCTCCCGTCCCGCTGCTTTGGAGGAGTCTGCAGCCCCGGGCGCGCCCGCACGGCGATTGCCGCCTCCACTCCAACCTCATCCACTCTCACTCTGACATTCTCTCCAGAGTCCTCGCGTCGAGCCCGTGGCGCCGGAGCGCGAGCCCCAAGCTCGGGACACAGCGGGACATTGACGATCTGCGATGCCTGTGCGTGCAGGTGATCACGATGAGCACGGCGCCGGCGGTGGCACCCTTCCTGGTGCTCCAGGCGCGCTGCGCCCGCGCGTTTGCGACGCCCGTGTGTGCCCCTGCGCGCGCCCCGCTCGCCGCGCCGCCGCCGGGCCCGTGGGGGTCTCAGGTTTGCGCGTGTGTGCCGCAGATGTCACGACCGAGCAGCTGCAGCAGATCCTCCAGAACGTGCAGGCCGAGCTTGAGCGGCGCGCGGCGCTGCAGCGCGGGGCGCCCGAATCGAAGCGGTGCGTGCCCGCCCTCGCCGTGGCCGCGCTCGCCCCGCCTTGGCGAGCTCTTGCCGCTCACCCGCGCCGCAGGAACTCGATCTTGTGCGCCTCGGGCAAGGCGTTGCCCAGCGAGGCGGAGGTGCACGCATGGGCGCTGCTCGTGCTGCTACATGGCCGCGGCGCGGACGGCTCGTGGGTCGCCGTCCCGACGCTCGTCGACCAGTGGATGAACGTCGTGCTGCTGCAGTCGACTCGCTACGAGCAGGCGCCCGCCCTGCTCTCCGACCGCCCCCCGAGCCGCCGCCGCGGCTGCTACACCTCGGCTATATCTCGGCTATATCTCGGCTATATCTCGGCTCTATCTCGGCCTTGCTGCCTGAGCCGTGTGTGCGTGTTGTGCGCAGTTGCGCGAGCGATGGCAGCCTCCGACCGACGATCCGGAGTGGCGTAACTTGGCTCTCGCCAAGGGCCTCGTCCCGTCCTTGCTCAGTCAAGCCGCCGCTCGGGCGGCGGAGCCGCTCGCCCACATCACGCGCACGCTGGTGCAGCTCGAGGTCATCGACCACGACGTCGGGCAGACCGCGCTCTCGAACTATCTGAAGAACTGCCTCGCCAAGTCCAAGGGCATCTCGGGCCCGTCGTACAACCCGGCCAACGGCTCCCACACGCTACACCGGCACATCGCCGCGGCGGTGCCCGTCGCCTCGCTCCTGAAGGTGCGCGGCAAGGAGCTGCTCTCGGCGCTGCACCGCACGCGGGAGGAGCCCGAGGCGGCGCCTTCGTACACCGAGCTGCAGGCGAGCGCCGACGCGTCGGCGGCGGCGGCGGCGGCGGCGGCGGCGGCGGCGGCGGCGGCGGCGGCGGCGGCGGAGGCGGCGCCGAGGCAGCGCGGGGCGCCGAAGAAGCGCGGGGCGCCGAAGAAGCGCGGGGCAACCGCAGCAGGCGTGGCGGCTGATGAGGCGGCGCCACAGGCGCGCGAGGCGCGCCCACGGCGCAATGCACGTTGACTCTGCGGCACATGCGGTGGACAGCGAACAGATAGGGTGATGCGGCACGGCGGTAGATGGCCGAGGATGCAGACGGACCGTGGTATGTGTGTTGTGTATATGCTCATATCCGCTTGACTTGAGCAGCAGGCACACACACGCCAAGCGCGGAGTTGTCGCTCGGGTTGCCTTAACTAGATAACATTCCCATATTCATTAATAGCGGCTAGTTTGTCACATCACGTGGATCGATGACCCGGAATATGCCGCAAGACACGGCGCTTTAATGAAGCAACTCATTATCTTGGACGCATCCCTCGACGCGAAGAGCCATGCAGTCACCCGAATTGCTTGCACCTCTCCTGCAAGTAGAACGAAACATTCTTGGAGCTTCCCCAGCCGCTTGTGGCCGCATCTCATCCGTGGCGACGCGCTGTGCCACCGAGCCGTACTTGGCCGCGCCGCCGCGTCGAGGCACGGGTCCCCAACCAAGCAGCGACGCCGAAGCGTCGACCGATAGAGCGCCACGCCCAGCAGTATGGGCGTCGACCGCTCTCTCGAGCGGCCGCGTGGCAGTGCGTGGCGCGGGCGTCACAGGCGGCAAGCGTGGAGCCGCTGGAAGAGCCGGTGCGAGCCGTGGACGGCAGCCGCTCCCCACGTCGCCGAGAGAGGCTGCGGGGGAGAGGGTTCAGGAGGCCACAGGAGGCGCCGGGAGGCTCGGGAGGCGCTAAAAAGTGGCCCGGGCGCCTCGTGCCACCCGTCTGGTGGGGCCAGGTGGGCTCAGGAATTAATCCAGGATTTTAAGGTGATCCACTACACCTGACCGAGAATTGGATGGCGAGATCGCGGCGAGATCGACCAGTCGGCCCAGGTCGGCGCCATGCACTGGCGGGCTGCACAGCGCGCTAGATTACGCGGAGGACGTGCGCTTACCACCGGGTGGGATTACCAGGCTCGCCTGGGCTCGCTGAGGGTCGATCGCGGCGCGACCCGTTTTCGGCTGTTTTCCTCGCGAATCTGGGGTGCGCGCCGGGAGCTGCAGCGCCAGCGTTTCGCGGACCTGTGCAGCCTCCGGGCACTGGGAACTTCTCCCAGGCTCGGGCAATGCGGACATGTGCCAGCGGGGGCGCGGAGGTGGTTTACATGCGGATGCGGCACGATCTTCGAGCCGAACCGACGATACAGGAGGCTCCAAAGGCGCCGTAATCGACAGTTGGCCGTCACCCAACTCCTCGCCCGCCGTGACTGTGGGTGTCTCCTGATTGACCACGCTCGTGGCGGAGCTCGGGGTACCACTTTGGGCCACGGGACAAGCCCTGGGGAGTCACTGTAGCTCGCGCGGGGCTGAGAAGCGCCCATTCCCGCGAAAAATCGAGATTTGGCGAGATATAGGGGGCGGTTCTCATTATTTTCGGCGGCCCCAAAGCTACCCAATCACTCGCCCACCTCCCCCGAGCAGTCTAGTCCAAAAAAAACCGCGCCCCGATCAAGTTACGTTTTCAGTGTTTGCCCCTACTCAGGCTCTCGTCAAACTGCACTCGACTCTGTGTGCTGGGACACGGGGCGGAGAGAGTTCGAGCAGCAGTCGAGAGTCGTCAGTCCGACACGTGCAGTGCCAGCTGCCACGAGCCACGTCGATCGACGTGCCAGTGGAGCTGAGACGCGGACACGCGGACATCGCGGACACACCTCACCCGCAGCAGACGCACGAGGCACGACGCACATCGTCACTCGATCTTTTCGGTGCCTTAACACGTTTGGCGAGCGTCGGAGCGTCCCCTCGGAGACTCTCCGCACTCCCGACTCCCGGGACTCGCTCCTCCTCGCTCTAGTGTGCTACTTTACGACGTTTTACGCGCGCTAGCCCGAGCCGTTCGCGGCGACTCCGTCGGCGGCTCAGAGCGCGGCCTGACCCGCCGGCACACGCCCCGCGGCCTAGCTCCGCTCTAAGCTCTATCCTCAACCAGACTTGTGCAGGGCCGTGGTCGCGCTGAGGTGCGCCGTCCAGTTGGCGGCGAAGCGCATGATGTGCGCCTGCACGATGCCCTGCACCGCCGGCTTGCTCATCCCGAGGTGGCCGAGCGCCTTGCGCCACGAGTAGACGAACCCGCCGCTCGAGCGCATCTCCTTGTTGATCTGCACCACCGCCGCCGTCGCCGGGCGGCGCAGCGCCTGCGCGACGGTCCGCTCGGCCGGCCCGACCATCTCGAGCATGTTTCCGGCGTGGTGAAACATGCGGCCCATCTTGCCCGGGTCCCACGCGTAGAAGACGAAGCGGTGCCCCACGCCGTCGAGCCGCTCCAGGGGGAGCGACCAGTGCGGATCGATGAGCAAGTCGACCGGAGGCTCCGCAGCGCCGCGCGCGAGCGAGTACGGCGCGCCCTCGCGCCGCATCATGCAGACGAGCGCGCAATGCCGGCAGATCGCGCGCCACACCTCGAGAAGAAAGTAGTTAAAGCGCGGCAGTACCATCTCGGCGGAGAAGGCGCCGACCATCAGCAGCGGCGCCTCGCCCGAAGTGCCGTTCCCAAAGCAGCGCGGTGAGCGGCGGGGCCTCGCCGACCCGCCCGCGCCCCCCTGGCCGCCGCGCCTCGCCCCGCGCGCCGCCAGCTGCAGCTGCGGCGTCGCGGGCTCGTTGGCTATCCGCGGCGGCGTCCAGCCGGGCAAGTGGTGGGTGGGTCCCGTGGCGCGGCAGGCGGTGACGAGCACCTGTGTAGTCAGTCCACCGGCGGTGAGCACTGCCGGATTGCCTCACCGGCGCGGCAGGCGGGGTTGAGCACGTTGCGGACGTCGTTGCGCGCCGGGTCGTGCGAGGCTAGATTCTCCCAGTGCTGGCGCGAGACGCGCGAGAGGTGCGTCCAGAGCCACGAAGTGGTGTAGACGCGCACGACCTGCTGCGTGAAGTCGAGCGCCTGCGGGCCGCGTCGTGGACATGTCTTGGGCGTGTCGCAGACGGGTCCGCCGCCCGCGCGCGAGGCCGATCGCCTGCGAGGCGAAGGCGACGACGGTCTCGTTGTCGGGGATGTCGAAGGGCGAGGCGGCGACCTATGGCGCGTGTCGTCGACGTGTCGCGGGCGGGTCGCGGACATGGACATGGTGTGATGGACAGGGTGAGGGGCGAGGCGGCGGCCGGCGTGATGACGAGCGGCACGCCGAGCTCGAGCGCGACGAGGATCTTCGTGTTTACGCCGGTGGTGCGGAGCACGGGCACGATCATCAGCCGCCAGGAGAGGACCTCCTCGAGCAAGCCTGCGGGGCGTGTCCGGGCCGTGTCATGGAGGCGTCGCGGAGGCGGGGGCAGCTCCTCGTCTGGCCGAAGACCCTCCGCCGACAAGTAGCCCATCTCGTCGATCCCGTTCGCCTGCTCGCTGCCCGCGTACTGCGTCCCCCACGCCCAGCCGCAGTGCGCGTCCTCCGTCCGGACGCACGGCATCTGCACCCCCTTGACCGTCTTCTCGCCAGGCGGCCGCCCGATGAGCCGCATGCGCACGCCGGGCAGCTGCCTCCGCACGTCCTCCCAGCAGTGCTCGAGGAACCACTGGATGCCGAGGTGGTTGGTCGGCGTGAGCCCGTTGCCGATGAAGCCGATGTTGACGGTGCGCAGAAAGGCGCGGTCCTGTGGGTGGGCCGGGGGCGCGTGTCGTGGGCGTTGTGTCGTGGGCGCGTGGGAAGGAGAGTGCCGCGGACGCGTCCGGCGGCGTCTCCTGCATCGGCGCAGGCATGTTCTTGGAGAGGATGCGGAAGGCGCGGATCGGCATGCGGAGGAGGCGGTAGTGGGGCACGAACGGGTACGACTCCTCCTCGGCGACGGCGTCCATCGCGGAGATGTAGAGCGCCATGTCGATCATCTGGTACATGCTCTTTTGGCGCAGCCAGTAGTTGCGCGCCCGCTCCATGTACCCCTCGCGCGTGGACGGGTGGATCTCAACCTGCCACATAGTGTCGGAGACGTGCGTTGTGTGTGTGTGTGTGTGTGTGTGTGTGTGTGTGTGTGTGTGTGTGTGTGTGTGTGTGTGTGTGTGTGTGTGTGTGTGTGTGTGTGTGCGTGTGTGTGTGTGTGTGTGTGTGTGTGTGTGTGTGTGTGTCTCCCTCTCGCGTGGAAGTGTGGATCGGCCGACCCGCGAGGCGAGGCGAGCCGAGGCGAGGCGAGCAGAGGCGAGGCAGAGAGGAGAGGATAGGCGCGGAGAGGAGGGGAGAGGAGAGGAGAGGAGAGGAGAGGAGAGGAGGGGAGAGGAGAGGAGAGGAGGGGAGAGGAGAGGAGGGGAGAGGAGAGGAGAGGAGAGGAGAGGAGAGGAGAGGAGAGGAGAGGAGAGGAGGGGAGAGGAGAGGAGAGGAGAGGAGAGGAGAGGAGAGGAGCGGAGAGAGATCTTCACCTCGCCGAGCCGCGAGGAGCGGATCGCGTGCGCGTCGTCCGACAGGACCGCGACGAAGGGCTGCTTGTCGGCCGGCGCGTACGCGCGCAGCACGGGCAGCACAAGCTCCGCCACCGATGGCTGCGGGTCGTACCAGAACCACAGAAAGATGATGACGATGTTGAAGTGTCCCTTGGAGACGAGCTGCGCGAAGCGCGTCGCGTTGGTCCACTCGTACAGCCCGGGCGGGTCGCGCAGCCCCTTGCGCAGCTGGTCCTCCTCGAACCCGTCGATGTGCAGGATGGACGCGAGCTGCTTCGACTTTGGCTGCCGCAGCTTTGCGGGCGTCGAACCGCGAAAGAGCATCGACACCTCCTGGTTGAGGTAGACGAGGTCCTTGACGAAGCGGAGCAGCCGCACGTCGCAGCCCATCGACTGCAGGTGCTGCTCGTGCACGATGAGGATGCGGTGCCGCGGAAACTCGCCCGAGGCCTCGCCGCAGTCCTTGCCGGACGGTGGCGCCTGACTTGCCGACGCATTCGCCGTCGGCGGGTCCAACCGCCGCATCCCCGCCCGTCGCAGCACCTGCTCCGCGGACGGAAACGCGGCTCCGGGCGGCGGCACGGCACCGGCGACGCTCTCAGGCACAGACACCACGCCGCCACTGCTGGCGAGCGGCTGGGTGATCACCCACGTGCTCCGCCGGGCGTAGAGAGCGCCCTGCAGCAGCACCAGCACTAGGATGACGGCACAGACGGCCACCTGTGGCAGCGGAGGCGCCATCGCGCCTCTGTGGCACTAGACCGGGTCTGGTCGCACAGGAGGGACGCATGGCCGGTGTCGACCTCGGCGGGCGGCGGTTTCGAGAAATCGCGCTCTGCTCCTCTCTCCCTCCCTTGAGGCGTGCCGTTCTCCCATCCCTCCCTTGGGTTGTGTGTTTTCTTTCTTTCTTTCTTTTCCCTTGAGTTGTCTGTTTTCTTTCTTTCTTTCTCTCTCTCTCTCTTTGGTCGGGCGCGTGAGGGATTTTTCTACTCAGAGCGGTGGTTAAGGCCGATTGCCTCAACTGTCAACCAGCGGGTTGACTGACAGTTGACAGAGGTCTCAACCACCAACCAAGTGGTTGACAGACCCCTTCAACCTTCAACCACGCGGAACACAAACAACAAACAACTCTCTCTCTCGCGGAATGGCTCTGCTCACACACACCCCGCGCAAAGACTTCTGAACAGTGAACATTCTCTCTGGTGAATTCAGAGAGAGAGAGATTTTTAGCAATACCAAACAACTCTAACACTCACACGTCATTTGTGTTTGAATTCATGTCGTCTTCTTTAGATGCTGCATTTGACGCGCCTTTTTTACGAGTACTTGCTTCAGCTACACGTACACGTGCGTGGATGGGAGGTGATGCCAAGCCCAGACGAGGAGCGCTGACAAGCCATCGAAAGGCCCCGCCACGGGGGGGTCCCGGCCGACGTCATGGGTCGTCCGGACGCGGCCCTCTGTACACGGAAACAGCTTACCGCAGACATTGCCGAACTCAAAACTCTGCTTACCAAAGGCAGATACGAGCTCAACTCAGTGAGATCTAGCAGCGGCACATACCCTCAGTATCCAGAATAGTTAAGTCTGAAAAAGTCGGTCCGACCGCGCAGAGCGGTCTGGCTGTCTGCAGAGGCCAGAGCTTCCGTTTGGGCCCTGAGAAATGTCGGAGGCATGTCGGCCCATGTTCGCGATTGGTTGATGGCGTTGCCCTCATTGCACGTGAAACAGACCGCGCCGGCCACGCACCCTTGTTCCCGGAGGCCAACTCGAACAGGTTTGAGCACAAAGGCCGCCTTCCATGCTCGATATGCAGCAGGAGCTTAGTTGACCCTGCTCGAAGGCCGCCCTGCTCTAAGGCTGCCCTGCTCTCGGCATTGTGTTGTTGACTGATAGCACTGTCTGATCCAACCAGAAAGAGCCGTCGAAGAGCCGTCGAGCTACATGAGACCCAAGCAAGTCGTCGTGATGTACCAGAAAACGAAACTAGCGCCAAAATTGAGATCTCAGGATCGACATTAATTTCTCGCGCCTACTTTCGCTGCTTGAGACTCGCCAAATAGATCCTGCGTCTATGACCGTGTGCAACGTCAAGTCGTGAACCGCGACAAGACCATCGCGCCAAGCGCGACTCTGTTGCTTTATGCGGCAGCATTCACCGTGACTCTTGCCGTGGATGGTTAGTGAACGCAATACTTACGCCGTGAGCTGAGCTTCACCAGCCGTTTCTCTTCCTTCCCTTGCCTTCCTCTTGCCGTCCGTTCTCTGTGCGCATTCCTCTGCATGCGGCATCACACGCGTCTTCTGCCGGGCGCGCATCTGAACTCGTACCAGGTGTAGGCCATCGCTTTGCTGAAAGATCAGGGATTTTAAGGAGAGGTGTGTGATGCGCTAGCCGTCGCCCACCCTAGGGAATCTGCCTCTTCCTATCTCTCTTCGCAGTCTCTCGCCGCTTCTCGCTGCAACCTTCATGCCACCTCGCGGTCGTCCCACTCTCGAGGGGGGGCAAAGAAAGAAAACAGACAAGCCGAGGGAGGGATGGGAGGACGGCACGCCGCCACCACACAGGGATTTTAAGGAGAGGGGTGTGATGCCGGGGGGCCTCAACCCTCAACCCCTGCTGCACTTGGAGCACTTGGAGCACTTGGAGTGCAGTCAGCAACCGCACATCCAGGGCCGGGGAGCTCAGAAAGATCTGATTTCATTTTTGTTGTTTCGACTTCGTCCGCGCGGCACGCGTAGGCCCGACTAGGCCTCGTCGTGTGGGCCTCCGGCTGCGATGCCGCGCGAGATCGTCACCATCCAGCTCGGTCCGCAGGCCTCGTGGGTGGGAGCGCACTTTTGGAACTTCCAGGACGATTCGCTGCACCCAGAGATGGCCGCCGACGGCTCGCCTGACCCCGACGCCGCCGACCCGGCGGTGCTCTACCGCTCCGGCGGCGGCGAGCGGCAGAGCACGCGCACGCCGCGGCTGGTGGTGTGCGACCGATCCGACGGCTTCGGTTCGCTGGGTGCGCAGGGCCGGCGCGTGCCGACGGCGGGCTCTTCCTGTAGCGGCGGGCAGGGAGGCGAGCCGCCACCGGTCGACCCGCTCGCATGGGGCGGCGGCGTGACGACGGTGACGATGGAGGCGGTGGAGCCGTCGCCCTTTGTGCGCACCCTCTACGCCGGGGCCGGCCGCGCTGACGAGGACGAGGGCGAGGAGGGCGAGGAGGGCGACGAGGGCGACGAGGGCGAGGAGGGCGAGATGGAGCGGCGGAGGAGCCCTCGACCGACGGCCACACCAGCGGTCGAGGTGGAGGAGGGAGGGAGCGCGCCGAGCGCGGCGGCCTTTGATTTCGAGGCGACCGCCGCGTACTGGTCCGACTACCTCCAGGCGCAGCTTCACTCCCGCTCGGTGGCGCCGCTGCGGCCGCACAGCCACAACTTTTCGCAGCTCGAGCTCTGGTCCGAGGGCGAGTCGCTGATGAGGCGCGAGGAGGCGGCGCTCGACGGCGACTCGCCCGCCCTGCTCGAGCGGACGCGCCGCTTCCTCGAGGAGTGCGACAAGCCGCAGGGCTTCCTCCTCCTCGCCGACGTCGACGGCGCTCCTCGAGTGCCGCAACTCAGCCCGCCCGCGCACGAGGCTCACGCAGGCCCGCCTCCGCGTCGCAGGCGCCTTCGGCGGCCTCGGCTCCGCCCTGCTCACGCGGATCCGAGACGAGATGAGCGCCGCGCCTTGCCTCGCCCTCGGCCTCGGCACGTGCCCCGCGCCGCAGCCGCACCCGCAGCCGCACACGGCCTGCGTCGCCGCGCTGAACGACGCCCTCGCCCTCACCGCCTTCGGCGAGCTGCGCAGCTGCTACGTGCCTCTCGTGGGGCACGCCTCCGCGGCCGACCCGCCGCGGCCGCCGCTCGTCCGCCCCGCCTCTCCGAGCGCCGCCCGCCCGTGCCGCTACACCACCTCCGCCCTGCCCGCCGCGTGGCTCGACGTCGTGAGCCTGCCGCTCCGCACGCGCGGAGAGAGCCGGGGCGGCCTCACGCGGCTGCTGGGAGGGCTGCAGGTCGCGCCGCGCTTCCACCTCGGGTCTCCCGTCCTCGGGCTGCCCCTCCCTCCCCCGACTCTCGGCGAGGTAGAGCCGACTGGCCGGAGGGCGTGGTCACTGCCTTCGGGCGGAGTCTTCTCGCCCACGGCTCTCCTCTGCCCGCTCGCGCCGTGGCAGCTGCCGCCGCTCCGCGCGATCGCCTTCTCGCAGAGCGTCAGCTGCCTCGGCTTCCCGCCGCAGCCCCTCGCCGCCGTGAGCGTCATCCCGCCCCTGCTGCCCTGCCGCTCGAGCATGAACGTGTCGATCTTCACGCGCACCGCGCCGCTCTCGCTGCCGCTGCCCTTCCCGCAGTTCTTCACGCCCGATCTCGGCTCGGCTGGCGAGCTGCTGCCGCCCGCGCTCGACCGCGCACCGCGCCCCTTCGCGCCGCGCCGCGAGGGGGAAGAGGTCTTCTCGCTCCCGGCGACGGCCGCGCTCCAGTCGAGCCCTGCGATTGGGCCGCTGGTGCAGCGGGTGGCGGAGGAGTGGGCGGCGCAGCGCCGCGCCGCCGAGCATCGCCTCGCGGCCGAGTGGGGCGCCGACGAGCTCGCGGAGGTCACCGAGGACCTACTGGCTCTGCGCGACGCCTACGCCACGGGCGACGCCGACGGCTCCGAGTCGAACGGCAGCGAAGATTGAACACCGTGAAACACATGCACCGCTGAGACTCGTTTTTCATGTTGAGCTCAGTGCCTTACAAATTCATGACTTCAATCGTGGCGCGTGAATGGGTATACGGTACGTCGATAAATACATCGCTCTGACGAGGCCTAGGACGAGGCGCCGCGCCAGGGCGCGAACAATACTCAATAGACAAGAACCCGCCGCCTCTCACACGAACGTCGCACCATAACGCTCCTCATAGTTCCGCCTCGGCGGAGGGGCAGGGAGCGGGGCGGGCGTTGATCCCACCGCAGGCTCGAGCCTGTCGAGGTATTCGAGCCACACCGGCGCTAGCCCAGCCTCGGCGGCGCCGTCGCGCAGCAGCGAGAGGTACCGCGCAGACGGTCGAGGCTCGTCTGTCCCGCCTCTCCGCCGCGGCAGTCCAGGCGCAGCCTGCAGCGAGACAGCCTCGACGCGGCGGCCGTCGTAGCACTCGACTGTGAGAAAGGCGGGCACGTAGGCAACCGGCACCGCTTCTGAGGCGCACAGCCGCAGCCAGTCCAGCGGGGAGATCGTGTAAAGGACCCCGTGGCACTCGGAGCCTGTGCGTGATGAGATGGCAGCGAAAGCCGGCTCGGCAAACCCGGCGCCAGGCACGTCGAAAGTGAGCGCGTGATCCAGGGCAACCGCTGGGCGTTTCGCGGAGGGCTTGATGCCGCGTCGGCCCTCGAAAACTCTGGAGGCCATGTTGGATCCGATGGCGAAATATTCGACGCATAGGCCGTCAGGCGCCGTGGATGGTGGCGGTCGGGCGAGGCCGAGCGCAGCGGCAACGAGGGCTGGGATCATAGAAAACGTGACCGATGCTGCTTTCTCGGAACATTTCGAAAAAGAAAAATCAAAACGCCCCGGCTAGCTGGGAATAGGACCGCCGCAAGCGGCGTGGCGTGGGGCGGTTGAGCATTCCTCCGGGGGCCCCTCTGCGCCGGGGAGGCGTTGTTGGAGGCTAGGAGCGTCCGTCGCCTTTTTCAAACTCGGGGCCCACTCCGCTGAACAAGTGAGTGTTAGATTTGTTTGGTATTGCTAAAAATCTCTCTCTCTCCGCTGCGCTCCGACCCGAATTTGGAGGGCCATGAAATTTAAGGTGTTGCTGCGCAAAAGGGGCGGGGCGCGGGCGCGCGCAGCCCGCCGAGAGCTCTTTTTGGAGACCAGACCTTTCGATAGTTCATGCTTTCTAAGTCTATCTATCATATGCTTCATGACACGACACGCGGTGGTGGGAGCTGGTGGAGCTGTCAGCTGATCGATCCAAGCGGGTGGGGAGTGGGGGGCGTGGCTGGGCATGCAGGTCCGCCAGTCGGCCCGGCCTCTGACGTGGTGCTGCCGCTGCATTCGCTGAAGAAGAGAGGTGCAACTTGATTGGAGGCACTGGAGGCGGGGGTGGGGAAGGGAAGGTTGCAAGGGCTGTGGGCTGCAGAATTGGTGTCTGTGGCGTCCACGCAGGCTCTGCAGCGTGATGGCTGGCGGGACTGCGAGGCCGGCGGCAGCGGAAGGAGAGGCTGGGCACTTGAGGTGAGGTTACCGTTCTTCTTTGAGCACTTGAGCACTGGATAGGGTCGATTCCGCATGGTACGGGACCCCTCGATCGTTCTTCTGCTCAATTTCCGTGGTTTTTGCACGGTATTCGGATTTTCGCTATTTGGTCGTGTGGGTGTGATGCCGGGATTAGTCAATGGTACCGCGTCGCGGCGCCTTGCGGGCAGAGCCCTTAGCCACCCTTTTGTCTTGCGCGGTCAAAAGTAGGGAAAAGAAACAAACAAACGTAAGAGAAACAAACACTTGTGAAAACCGTCACACACAAACAAAAAAACACGCAAGCTCGAGCAAGCAAATTCGTATCACTTCTTCTTCTCTTCTCTCTCTCTATATATATAACACGACACACACACACACACAACCTCACACTTAACCGTTGGGTTTCTAGGACTTCCGACTCGTCGTCATTCACCGGAGTGGGGAGTAGGCGTTGTCGGACTCGGTGCCAGCGGAATACCTCAGGCCCCGGGGCTGCTGCGCGGAAGCCACGCGCTCGTCAGATCGGAGGGAGTGCTCATCGACGATGAGATTACAAAGAGTCGAGCAGGTCCAGTGTCGTCGCCGGCATCATCGCCCGCCAACGAGAGGCTCCAAGCCCCCTCTTTCTTGTCGGCGATTAGCACCTCCCTGGCGTGCAGCGTCGTGGGGGTCAGCATGCTGCCACCCTGGACACGTAGGCGAGGCCCCTCCAAATGCAAGACGACGCAATCTCGGCCCAGGCCCGGCGACCAGCCGCCGATGCCCTCGCCCGCCACCGCGCGAATCACGACGTGCTCGAAGCACAAGTCTCCGTCACCTTGAGGCGAGCTGACGCAGGGCTTGTCTGCAGCTCGATGCACAAACGACTCGAGCTGCGCTTGCGACACATCGTGCACCTCCCGCTCCTCCTGCTCGGGAGGAGCCGTGCCGGCGTCGTACAAGATGCCCATGTCGGTGCACAGAACGCCCTTCTCACGAGCAGCGTCAACAACATCTCGCCCTGCCGAGCCCAACGCCCTGCCGTCAATCTCGACGAGCGCCGCACACCTGCGCGGACAGTGGGCAGACGTTGCCGCCTTGTACGCAGCATCTTGGCTTGGCCCCCGAGCAGGGAGCCGGGGAGGCGGTCGACGACGCGCAGCATGGCGGTGAGCGCAGCCTGACGACGCGTCTTGATGGACGGATCCTTCTGCCGGCTGACCAATTCCGCCCACCTCTTGACTGGCGGCTTCGTCACCAACATGCGCTCGAGACGCGGAGCAGCCTCGATGCGATCCAGTTCGGTAGCTATCTTGTCGCGCAGCGCATCGTCAAAAGGCAGGTTGTTACAGGCGTCGCGCGCGTCCCCGAGGTCACGCAGGAGGCTCTCCATATGTGTTGCAATAGCCCCCGGCTGTGGTTGCTGCAGTGCTCCCGTAAAACGAGCGATGTCTTGGCACCAGCTGAAGGCTTGCACGGCCCACATCACATGGTTTCTGCACGGTATTCGGATTTTGCTATTTGTTCGTGTGGGGGCAGATTTGTCAATGGTACCGCGTCTGCGACGTGGGCGCCTTGCGGGCAGAGCCCTTAGCCACCCTTTATATCTTGCGCGGTCAAAACAATCCCAGCGACGGCGAGCACCACACTCCTCTCTCTCCTTCAAATCCCTGTGTGGTGGCGGCGTGCCGTCCTCCCATCCCTCCCTTGGCGCTTGGGTTGTCTGTTTTCTTTCTTTTTGTCTAACGTACGATCAAAATAGCGGAAACAATGGGTGCGACTGTGAAGATAGTTAGTCAGTGTATGTAGCTCTTACGTACATTCCCGGAGGAGGACTGCTGATAGGGTTTGCGATGAGGAGCGACCCGATGGGTTTCTCGGAGGTTAGTGCACCACTAACCGCCGAAGCGCAAGCGCTGGGAGCAAGAACACTACGACCTGGGTCGGGCTCATACTAGCACCCCACCTCGCGGCGGGGCACCCGGCGGCTCGGGTCACTTCTCATCGCAAACTCGGTCGAGCAGGAGGTAAGGTGTGTGCGTGTGGGAGGCGGCGCGGCACTGTGGGAGCGGCGGTACGGCGGCACGGCGGTAACGCACGGCAGGAGGGACGGCGAATAAATGGCAAGGGCGGCGCGGCGCGGATGGAAGGAGCGGCACGGTAAGGAACGGCGGCACGGCGGCAGACCACGGCAGCGAATCCCTACAGATAGAGACCGGACGCACGTGTTGTCGACACGTGTTGGGGGTTGATAACAACCGCACGCACTCCATCCACAAGTGCTCCAAGTGCATGCATGCAGCCAACCATCTTGGAGCACTTGGAGTGCAGCGTCATTAACCTCAAAACACTTAACCTCACATCCAGGGCCGGGGAGCTAAGAAGCGCACCCAGCGGCGGGTTGCGGGCTAGAGAGCCCTAGCCCTGGGGGGTGCGCGTTCGCAGGGAACCATCCATCGCTCGGCCTTCCTTTACTTACTCGATCGATGAGCTGGGTGGGTCCTCCGTCAGTCATGCCACTCCCTCTATATCTAGCAACTTCATTAATCGTTGGCTGCTTCTATCTCTAGTCCACTCGGGGTGCGCAGCAATAAGACCGAACGAACCAACCTAAATGCTAGATTTTATGCACGAATGAGCGAGAGAGAGACAAAGAAAACTTAGGGAGTGTTTGCAGTTTGGTCATGCGTGAGTGATGCCTAACGTGCAAGGCGAAAATGGGAATTTTCTCTGTTGGTCCGAGATCTTTTGTACCCGGGTAACGCGCTCGCTCGCGCCCGCCGTTATTTGGGACCGGCCGATCCCAAGTTTGCTGGTGACGTCTCGTGTCAGTGTGTGTCGCGAGCCATTCTGCCCTCATCCCCCGTCAGCATCTCTCCAGGCCAGAGGTGCCCAGCCGGGACAATCACCCCAACGGTGGTCTGGTGCCGCTGGTATGCCGGTCAACTCGGCCTATTTTTTCTCGACAAGAATAGCTTCCATCCGGAGGCTGTGTCAGCCGCGTGTGTCCATCGTCTGGTGACCAACCACAATTTTGTGGCGTTTTCTGAGGGGAGCGATCGTCACGAAGTGACAACGAGCCATTCCTACTCCGATGGCCGTTGCCCTGACTACAGGTCCTGCGTGAGCTGCCTGCCACGCGTTCTGGAGTGCTACTGCATTCATGATTCAGTCGCACTCTGGAATGTGACTGTGGCCGAGGTCCCAAAATTTGAGCTACAGGTTGGAGAGTGCATCGCAGCCAGCATGACGTTAGAAGTTACGCCCTGCTTGGATCTGATGGGACGTGAGTGCCTTCACCTGCGAGGCGCAGAGGAGCCCTGGCTGTCGATTCCGTGGTTTTTTGCCCACGTCCGGGCTACGTGCAATGCGCAGCCCCTCGCTCACGAATCATCCGCTCCTACAAGATGCTTTGACACGGACTGGCTCTACGGCGGCGGCAGTGTGGCAATGCAAGACGCATCCCTGCCGACCATTTCGCAATACTTCAGCATACACGTCTCGGCCACAGGCTTCGCCTTCTCATCGAACTCATTCTACAACGAAAGCCTCCCTCATGCCAACGCGCCGTCAACCTCCAGGGACGATTGCTCGCGGCTCATTCCGCTCGCAAAGGGAGTCAACATGATTATCGACAGGGATGCTCGATACACAAAGGTCTTTGACTCGCCTACGACTGCGGTCATCATCCTCGAACCCCACGCTCGGGCAGCGCGTGCGGGCGTGCCGCCACCCGTCCCCGCGCTGCCGGCTGCACCGATCCCTGCAGCCCCGCCTGCGCAGCCGTCTCTATGGACGCCACCACCAGCACCGCCCCTGTCTCTTCCGCCGCCAAAAGAGCCTGGCGGCAGTGGCAGCTCGGAAATGGATATCTGGGTGATCGTGGTGATCTCTCTCCTCGGGCTCTCTCTTCTATGCTGCTGCATTGTGCTGCTAGCCTTTCTGCGACGACGAAAACGCCGCAGGCGACAGGAACAAGTCGCATCCGACGATGGTCAGTCCCAGGAGGCCGGACCTCGTCCCTACTATTGAAAGTGTCAATGATGCGTCGACAGTAGAGCCGATACTCTCTAGCTAGCGCTCACGTGTGAGAGCTCAGAGAGGTGAGAGTCTATTGAGAGGGATAGCCGTGTAGAGTATAGTGCGTAGTCAGTTGAGGTTCAGGTTGAGCCGCGTACGGCTCTAGAGAAGCTCACGTATAAAGAGTACAAAAGAGAGTCTGATAGAGAGAGGGGTCGTGCAGGGTACAGCGCACAATATAACACGAGCGAGGACGTAAGTCGTAACACGGCTCCCCGTCCCGCGTCCGTCTTGCGTCTACTAGAGCGTAGAGGCTCTAGAGAGTGTGTAGCGTAGAAGGATAATGGACACAGAGGTGTGGAATTTCCTGGAAAATGTGTTGTTCTCAGATTAACACGAATGGACCCCTCAAAATAAAGGGGCCGGAATATGTGGACATATGTCACGACGTCTCTTACGTCTTACGTCAGTAGCGTCTTAAAGCCGTACCTGCTTGAGAACCACATCACAAGCGCGCCGCCTCGACACGTGCGCAGATCTCTCTCGTCTGCTGCTAGGGGTCCCCCGCGTCACAACCTCAATAGACCCTCCCATGCAGTAGATTTAGGCCCCACATGCCCCAGTCCAACAGAGTTCCAGCTCTCCAAAGACCCGCGTCTGCTACAGCGCGGCGGCGCGGTCAGCCGAGGGCGGCGAGATTCTGGTACGATGCGCTCATGCCGCCGCTGGCCACCGGCGCGGCCATCCGCCTCATACTGCTGGCGGCCGCCGGTTGCGAGCCCGGCGGGTGGTTGCCGTGCGTGCAGAGGAGCTCGAGCAGCTCGAGCACCTCGCCGTGGTCGTTGAGGTACGAGTTCGCCTCCGACGGCTTGCGCCCGACGGTGGAGGTGAGCAGCTGGCGCGCATGCTTGCCCAGCTTTTGGTGCAGGTGGCCGAACATGAGCTCGTCGGTCGAGTCGTCGCCGATGCAGAGCACAAAGTCGAGCGGCCGCGCGCCGCCGCCCTGGCAGAGGTCGACGAAGCGCTCCGCCATCACGCCCTTGTTGACGTCCTTCAGGCAAGCCTCGACGTACCCCTTGCCGGTCCGGACAACGACCGGGAAGGCGGAGAGGACATGCTGCAGCGCGAACTGCACCTCCTTGGCCTGCATCACCCCAAACTCGGGGTCCGAGTCCGCAAAGTTCCACGCCATCGACGAGCCCTTCGAGAGGACGTACGCGCCGTGCGTCACCGTGCAGTAGCGCTGCATGACCGACGCGGCGACGGAGCGCCTGCGCGAAGCGTGCCGCGGGCGCGTGAGGGGCGGCGCGGGTGCGGGTGCGGCTCTGAGCAGCGGCCGCGCGCCAGGAGGTGTCGACCCCGTGCACAAGCTGCTGCCACTGCCCGCCCTGCACGCGGTACGTGAAGCCGTGCTCGACGGCGAGCGAGAGGTTGGGGACGGACCCAAACGCGGCGAGCACCTGAGGCGACGGGGCGGCTGCAGCTCACGGCAAGGACACGCCCCTCGCGCCCCGGGGCCGAGGAATCGGCCGCCTTCTCCTTCCCGAGCCCGGAGAGGATCATGACGTGGTTCTTCGGGTCGGCGCAGAGCGTCTGCAGCGCGTTGAGCACGCGCTGCGGCACGACGTGGCCGTCGGTGGAGTCGCGCGTGTCGTACAGGCCGGCGTCTGCGGCGTGGCGAGGGGGGCGAGGGGGCGAGGGTCGCGAAGACCATGGGGGGTGGGCGGCGGCAGAGCTGGCGTGAGGGCGTCTGAGAAGTGTCTGAGAAGTGTCTAGGAAGCGTCTAGGAAGTCGCACCGGCTGGCGTGAGTGTGCCGCCCCAGTCGAGGAGCAGCGCGCGGTGCGAGGAGCGCTGGAACTTGTCCAGCGACTCGACGACGTCGAGCGGCTTGAAGCCGGCGCCCATCCCGACCATGCGGAAGCTCGAGAGGCCGAAGCCGACAGAGACGAAGTCCTCCTCGCGCTTTGTCTGCGTGGCCTTGAGGTCCGTCACGAAGCGGTTCGCGAACTCCTCGAGCGTGCAGCGCTGGATGTGCGCCAAGTCCTGCGGAGGAGGAGGGGAGGGGAGACAGCTCACTCACCCCGCCCGGTGCGGCGGCGGGCGCCAGACGCGAGAGGCGAGAGGGGAGAGGTTCGGAGGGCAGGCGGAATGTTGCCTTGAGGCCACGCGCTAGCCGCTCCGCCGGCGCCATCCGGAGCGCCGTGTCGAGCGCCTCGACGAGCTCCTGCGGCGACACCGGGAGAGCCGTCACGCGCCAGGCAGGGGGGGGGGGGCAGACGAGAGGGGGGAAGGCGGGGGGAGCGCCGCCTTTTGCGAGTTTGGGTTGACGCGCAGGCCTCCGTTGAGCACGCGAGCGAAGCCGGAGAACTCGGAGAGGACGAGCACGCCGGCGGGCAAGCCGCGCAAGTGGCGCGAGTAGACGTACTCGAGAGGCCACACGTTGACGGCCTCGCGCAGCTGCGTGCCGACGAGCATCCCCATGCCTGGGGCGTGTCAGGGACGTGTCGCGGACGTGTCGCGGACGACCCGGGTTGGAGCCGGCCCTCCCCTCTGCAGCTGCAGACCCTCGCCTCTCGCCTGCCCACAGCTGTAGCCGCGCCGCCGGGGAGAGGCTCGACCGGACCTCGAAGTGCACTGTGCCCGGATAGGCGGCGCTGATGCGCTCGACGATGCGCGTGATCTCCGCCTCGACCTGGCCAGCCTCCTGGATGTGGATCTTGTTGCGCGCGCCGACGCAGACCTGCAGCAGCACGTGCCCGTTCCGGTAGTGCGGGTAGTCGCGCAGCAGCGCCTCCCACGCGAGCATCTTGGGCGCGACTCCCTTGAGCCGATCGAGGTAGTCCACGCCGCCCACAACCACGCGGCCGGAGGAGCAGACCTGTTCACAGATGGAGGCGTGAAGAGACGCCGTTCACAACCGCACGGACCGAGGAGCTAGCCTGCGCGATGGCGCTGCCCAGCTCCGCGGCGCAATCCGTCGGCGCGGCGAGGGGCGCGTGCGCGTGGCCGTGGAAGGCGGCCCGCCCCGAGGCGGCGTGGCTCATGGCGGCTAGCCGCGCCTAGCGTGCAGGGTCAGGGGCGGGATGAGGAGGTGTGCGGGAGGAGGGGCGTGGCTCGTGACGGCGAGAGGCGCCTCGAGCTTGGGGGGCGAGATGCCGAAGGTCGCCACCTGCAGCATGACGTGCCTCCCCTCGTACTCGACCCCGAGGTAGCCGCCCTTGTGGAACTCGTACTCTAGCCCGAGCATCCGCTTGCAGCAAGAGAGGAAGTTGCGCGTGTACTCGAAGAGCAGGAAGCCTACGCTCCGGCCACGACTCGTGAGGAGGGGGTGCGAGGAGCTTCGCAGGGGGTCGAGGAGGAGGAGGCCGAGGAGGTCGGCGTTGAGCAGCGAGCGGAGCAGCTCTGTCCGCACCGCGACCGACCCCCACAGGTCGGAGGCGGGGAAGGGGGCGTGGATGAAGAGGCCTTGCGGCGGTGGCGTGCGGCGGTCGGGCAACCTCCGGGCAGGGGGCGAGGGCAGGGGGCGAGGGCAGGGCTTCGGTGCGAGAGGCGGGAGGGTTTGAGCGGGAGGGGTGGGGCGGGAGGGGCGGGGCGTGCGGGCGTGCGGGGCGTGCGGGCTGCCGATCTTGGCGGAGCGGAGCTTGCGCAGGATGCAGGACGGGAGGAGCATCAGGTGGTAGTCGTGGACCCAGATCATGTGGCCCGGCGAGTAGACCTCCATCACCTTGGCGGCGAAGAGCCGGTTCACCGTACAGTACGCGCGCCACTCCCCCTCCTGGAACGGGTCGACGCCGCGGTGCTGGTGCATCTGGTTGTGAAGGATCGGCGTCAGGTAGCCGCGGCAAAAGCCGTGGTAGTAGGCGGCCTTGAGCTCGGGCTCGAGGAAGAGGACGACGCACGAGTAGTTCTCGAGCAGCAGCCGCTCGATCGACTCTTGCTGCGAGGGGCGCGGAGGACCGTCATTCAGCGAGGCTGGCCGGTCCCGGCGCCCGGGGCTGCTGCCGCGTGCCTCAGCCTCGTCGGTCACCTCCATGTCGATGCAGCCGATGTAAATGCACTGGGTGGGAAGGTTCATGCCGTCCCGGTTAAGGCCGCGGTCATCGTCCCACTCCACGTTGTACCCTCCGCCAGCCGTCCGCCTACACGTTGCAAAGGCGCAGATCAGCCAGCGAGCCAGCGGAGCCCGGGCACAGCGCGGCGGCGCTTACGTGATGATGATGGGCAGGTGATAGGCGACGATAATGACGGTGTCCGACGCGGCCAGGGCTGATGCGTCCGGGCCGCTCGCCATCGGCTCGTCATTCATGCCGCACGAAAATCTTGTCGAGATGGGCAGCTTCTCCGCAACGAACAAGAATTCGTCGCGCCCTCATCCTGGGGATAGGAGGGTTGGTGTATTGTTGGCAAACAAGACACAGAGCTCACACAGAATCACAGCGGGAGGAAAGCGGCGAGTCGCAATTCCAGGGGTCGTTGTGGCGGGCCACCCTGTCCAGAGAGGCATGGATGCCAATCTGGGGTCTCTCGACCGAGTCTATGAAGGCATGGCCGCCTCCCGGTGGTGGCAAGGTTAAGCAACCGAGCAACGGAGATGGTGCGGGGGTACGGGTGTTCCACAGGGGGTCACGACACGCACCGACCCTTCACGAACCGAAAGGCTGCACCCGGGAAGGCACAGTAATCCGGCACGTGTTGGGCGCCCATTCCGTTTGGGCTAGGTCGGCTCAGGGCCCCGTCCACTTCCCTCCCACTTGGCGCGAGATGATGAGGAGATGCCCCCCAGGCCAGCCAGGGCAGGCGGCAGGGGCGGAGGGCGAGGGCGGAGGGCGGGATGGGCGCCAAGCGGGAGGGAGCGGGCGGAGTGGAACGCACAGATGGGGGATGGCGAGGGCGGAGGGGCGGGAAGCGGGGAGGACGGCGGGAGGGCGGAGGTCGGCATGGGCGGGCGGTGGGTGGTTCGGTAGGGCGGGGGGGAGGGTGAGGGGTGGAGGAGGAGGGCGGTGGGGGCGAGGGGCGGCGAAGGAGAGGGTGGCGGCAAAGGGGTGGCCGAGGTGGAGGGCGGGCGGCGGAGGCGTGGGCGAGGTGGAGGGCGGCGGCGGCGTGAGCGGCGGCGGCGGCGGTATGGGGGAGGTGGAGGGAGGCGGAGGCTCGGGCGAGGTGGAGGGCGGCGGCGGCGTGAGCGGCGGCGGCGGTGGTGTGGGGGAGGTGGAGGGTGGCGGCGGCGTGGGCGAGGTGGGGGGGGCGGCGGCGGCGTGAGCGGCGGCGGCGGCGGTGTGGTAGAGGGGAGGGCGGCGGAGG